TATATTTCATCTCACTTCCTCCTTTTCCCGTAAATCATCCTATCTACTCCACAGAAACGAAGCTGTAACCAGTTTGACAGAGTCCCAGAAGGTCTTGTTTGCATCCTGATCAGCATGGGCAACTTCCACAGCTTCTGCATCGTCTGGGCAAAGAGGTAATGACAAACGCAGCAGAGACTGGTGGTGTCTTAGCAGCTGCTGGATTTTAGAAATACTGCAGTATCCACAGGTGAGATGGGAGCACTGGGATAGGAGGTGTGCTGGAGGCTGGAAGCACTGGGGCACCCCTGGTACTGCAGACTCACCCACTTATTTGCTCTCAGATAGTGAAAACAAGAGGGGAAAGGATGAAGTTTCTTTCTAGCCCTTCAGGCAATGTCAGCATGTTATTTTAGCATCTTCCAAGCAGGACAGCACTTTTGTCCCTGCCCATGGCAGGGGGGGTTGGAAATGGATGATCTTTAAGGTCCCTTCCAATCCAAACCATTTTGTGATTCATTTTATGATTTATTGTACAGTAGCAAATTAATTTAGGAGGAAGATAAAACCATTCAGCATCTGAAATAGAGTATTATTTCCTGCAGCATTAATCGGTGGCATCAGTACCACGTAATTTGTTACCGGTGGCATATTTCTGTATGGCTTCATTTCCTTAAAAGCATGGGAATTAATGAGGTGTTTGCGTTGGGAAGGGATTGGCAGGCACCGAGCATAATGTGGGCAATCACCGGAGAGGCTTCCTGGCTGCGCGGAGGCACCAGGGTTTGTAAACCAGGGTGTAAATACCACAGCTCTGCTGCCCTACAGGGATTAATCTGCTCTGAGGCAGACGTGATTCCAGCAGCTGAACACCTGCCCTGCTGTATTTAAGTGCAGAACAAGAATTCACCTCACTTAATGTACAGCAACACTGAATCATCATCATTTTGTTTCTCAGTAACTGAGTTACTGGTGATGTCTTTTCCCAGAAGAAAGTCAGTCAGGAACCATCCAGCCCAAGGGTGTCACTGGCCCTGGGATGTCACTGGCCCTGTGAATCACAGCCCTTCTGCTCATGCCATAATTGTACTTCACCTCTTTATCTTGTGTACACTGAGGAACTCCGGGAGGGAAAACCCCCATCCCTCGGCAGGGATCCAGCCCAGGAGAAGAGCTGCCAAGGGGACAATCTGCTGGTGGAGTTTGGTGGCTGATGCATACTGGAGCCATTCCCAGGAAAAGGAGAGATGGGAGAGGGCTTGAGGCCAATAGGTTGAGGAGAGTGATTCTGCCACTCTGTTCCACTCAGGTGAGACCCCACCTGCAGTGTGTGTCCAGCTTTGATGTCCACAATATCAGAAAGGGTCCGGTGGAAGCTGGAGCCCCTGTGCTTTGGAGCCAGGCTGGGAGAGCTAGGGGTGTTCACCCAGAGAAGAGAAGTCTCCAGGGACATCTTAGAGTCCCTTCCAGTGGCTAAAGGGGCTCCAAAAGAGTTGGAGAGGGACTTTGGACAAGGGATGGAGTGACAGGACACAGGGAGTGGCTCCCCACTGCCTGAGGGCAAGGTTAGATGGGATATTGGGAAGGAATTCTTCCCAATGAGGGTGGTGAGGTGCAGGCCTCCCCTGACTTAGCATTAAAATGGGTTACCCTAAAAAAACCTTCCCAAGTTTTACAGGGGTTCAGAATTTATTATCTATTTTATACACATGCATTATAGATTTATATAAACTTGACCTTTTAAGAGCTGCCTTGTGCACTTGCTAAGCATTACATATAAACCAAGCATGAAATATTTCAACCAACAGCTTCCAGATGATGTGTGGGTAAAATTCAGGGCTGAAGAAAGGAGATGAGAGGCAGCCTCAAAAAGTCATGTGCTGCAGAGAAAAGTGACTCCAACCTCAGCTCTGCACCCTCAGACCTTGGTCCTCACTCTCCAAGACTTGGGCAGGGGCTCAGGTGACCTCATCAAGTGTGCTGAGATCCCTGAGGACAAAAAAAAAGGTGCAATGATGACTTCAGCTGCCAAAGTCTTAAATAACTAAACACTTTTGGGGCTGTGACCAGCAGAAACATCAGAAAAGTTATAGGAATTAGGGGGGGAAAAAACCCATTTGCAATTTTCTCACGGACATTGTATAAAAGACCTTTCCTACAGGTAATTTGGTAACTCCACCATCAAACCCCCACTAAAGCAGGGCAGAAGCAGCTCAAATCCCTGGGTCAGAGCTGATGACTGTGGCAGTGAATCTCCCACCGCAGGCATTGCAGTATTAACATTTAAAAAATCACGAGACCTCAAATATCCCAATGCTAAGTCTCATGACCTTTAAGTCAACTAGATTCAGGTTTCTTTTTCTTTGACTCTTGCTGTACTTTTAGGATGGAAATAAAAGACCTTTTTAAGTTTAGGGAACGTAACAGGGAGCCTCCACCACCCATTTCTTCCCCCATTTACATTTCTGGTCCCCTAAATTCAGTTATTATAAGTGCTGGTTTATTTTCAAGCACTTCTTTTTCATGTTGCTGCATTTTGATGACTTGCTTTTAAGGCAATTCTTGACACATTTTTAGGCTGAGATTAAATGAGTGTCCTTTTGAGGTTCACTCTGACTCAAACTAGCATTAATGGTTTGTCCAGGTTGGCTCACAAGGAGTTAGGAGTGGCATTTTATAGGTTGCAAGGAAAGACAAGGACTGAAGTTCAAAGACAGAATATTAGAAAATTCCCGAGTTTTGAGTTCCTAAAGCACAGCCCCATGCTGTGCCTTGTCCCTGGGCACACAATACCCCAACAGTCCTCATTCAATCCTCTTGACACATTTCTCCCTTTGATAACACACTCCCCCAAAAAACCAAACCCCAGCTCAGAGAAAGCCATTCCTTGGGCTGCATTCGTTTGGTTGGCCCAAATGAAAAATGTAGAGTCAGGTGTTTGTCAGCTGCTCTATAGTGCTGAAAAAAGCCCTCTCCTGCTTTTCCTCTGCGTGGCCAAGGTGTGTACTTTAGATAAAAGTCCTGTTTCTGGCCGAGGCACTCGCTGCTGCTCCCAAGAGGGAGAGAACAGGCTCTGCTCCTTCTCTCCCCCATCCTTACCGCCATCCCAAGGTGCCTCTTGGCTCCTGGCCCTTGGAGTTACTTGCTCCCACTAGCAGGCAGAGACCCCCAACACCGCCTCTCAGGACTGCAAAGAGGCCTAGAAACCCCCCAAATTCGCTGCCCACATTCAGCACCCCCCGCTCCCCTCCTCGCTGCCCTGCCGACCGCTCCCCACGGCCTCGGGGCCGATGGAGCCCAGGCACGGCGACGAGGGACATCGGCTCAGCCTGGAACAGGCGCCCAGCTCAGCCGCCGGCTCTGTTTGCAAGTACAGATAAATATACATGAGGCAGAGCCGAAAAGCCAGAGTCAGCTCCTCTCCGAGCCTGCGGCTCCGGTTACGGCGCTGCCCGCGCCCCGTGGCACGGACGCTCCCTGGAGCAGCCGCCAGCCTGGCACGGCACGGAGCAGATGGTCAGAGCCGCTTGGCCCGCGGCCGCCGCCAGCCCCCGGCTCCTCGCCTCTCACGATGCTCACCGAGGCCACCTGGGCCTCCCGCGGGTCGGGCAGGACACAGAGCCACCGGGGGCAAAGCCGGAGCAGTTGCTGGCGTGGCAGGGGTCAGCACGGAACTGGGGTCGCCAAAATCACAGCTCTCCTCCCAGCATCACCATCTGCTGTGGAGGATCCTGCTCCCGTGTGAGCGGCAGACTGGGGTAGCCGCGGGCAGATTTGGGCAAGCAAAAACACTCTAAAGTAAGGCTGGATGGCAGAGGGATCACAGCACTTCAGGCAAATCCTCAAAAGTCACAACCACGCAGTAGTGACCTGCCCGTGGTGGCTGTATTGATGCAGGCTCATCCTGCTGCCCAGAGCTCCCAGGAAGGATCCGCTGCTCCATTTGCTCCTCGGACAAGGAGGGCACAAGGAGCAGATGGGGCACAGCAGGATACGTGTCCTGGGCTGCAGGAAGATCAGAGAAGGGGTGGCAATGGCTGGAAGCAGGTCCTGTGCCTGGCCACCAGCCCCTGGGCTGGGGATACCGGCGGGGAGTGAGATCCTGCAGCCAGGCTGCCGGGAGAGAAGCCATGTGCAGGTATTGGCTGAGTTCATCGCTTGGTGCTTCCCTGCCCTCCCCCTTAGGGGCTTTGCACCCTCACCAGTAAACCAGGGGTGTTCTGGCCAAGGGCAGTGGTCACTCTGGGCAGTGGCCTGAGAGCCCCCATGGCAGGGCTCAGCGGGGTTCAGGGGTGCATCGGGGTGCACCAGGGAGTTACCGCAGCACCAACATAGCCCTGAGCACGTGAGAGCCAAACAGCTCCAAACTCTGCTCCAGGAGCCCCGAGCAGCGAGCACGGCCATAAAGAGCAGAGGCAGCAGCGCTCCAACTTCCTGGCACTCGGGGAATCTTCCTGGATCACGTTACGTTCATGTGTCCTTGGCTCATCTCTGTACAGTTGAAAAACACTGTAAGGGGAGCCAGATAATTAGGACAGCTGAGGTCGAGAAGCAAAACCCAGGGAACCAATTCCTGCTAAATTGGAGGCCTGTTGCTTTCATCAAACTGCACTGTCTGTACAGCCCTGCTTTGCCGAGAGGCCCCTGCAGTCAGAGGCAGTGAGACCATGGTGCCCACCAAAGTTGTTCCACAACTTGCTCCCAAGGAACTGCCAGTTCTGCTGTCAGTGGGATGGTGGTGGAGTCACCATCCCTGGAGTTGTTCAAGGAATGACTGAAGGTGGCCCTCAGTGCTCTGGTCTGGTTGACAAGGTGTGCGTCAGACAGAAGTTGGACTCAATGATCCTGAAGATCTTTTCCAACATAAAGGATTCTGTGATTCTGCCATTTTGGGTGACCAAAGGAACCAGAAGGCAGGCAGGCATTAAGGGTGCTGGCTGGGTGCTGCCTCCAGGCTGGCACGGCCGAGGACAGTGGTGTCACTGCAGTGACACTCAGCATTTACTCCTTTGGCTCTGCATGTCCTGACATGAGCTGCATTGGCGCGAAACGCTCCCTGCCCCGGGGGATGTTCCCAGGCACTGCCACGGCACAAATAAATAACAACAACAATGCTCTGAGGGTGGCAGGGGGGCTGTCATCTGACCCAGCACCACCGATGGAAAGAGCAAAGAGCTGGTGCCTGAGTTTGCCCCCAGCAGCACTGTGAACGCACTGGCATTTGGTCACCAGCGGGAAGGGCTGACAGGAGGGTTGTTTGGAGGGGAGCAGCATCCACACAACTCCAGGCTTTACTGGCGTGTCCAAACACCAAATGCACCAAGCACAACCCTCCACACCTAACATCCAGGAGCTCTTCTCTCACCTTTTTTAGGGCTGCTTATTTAAAGAGTACTTAGTACTTTTTTAGCTTTTTTGGTACTTTAGGTAAAGATGCTTTGTTTCTGCTGGGTATTCCCTCACGGAATGAGGACTGATCCTCATTTCCTTGGCTCTTTTAGGCTGGGTCTTTTGAGCTTGAATAAGCCTAGAGCAGAAAGGGACACAGAGCAGGAGAGCAAGACATGCCCTCAGCCCAAGGGCACCAGCTCCAAACACCACCCTGAGCCATGGGCAGGGAGGAGGAAGAAGCAGCTGCCATGTGCATGTCACCAATGTCCCCTTGTCACACTTGGTGATAAGTGTGGAAGAAGCAAAATAGAGATTTGAGGGAGAACCACTCCCTTGCAGGTCTGCAGCTCGGTCACTCAAGGGCTGAGAAGTGACTGTTGTGTTTTCCTTGCAGGCTCTGCCCAGGCTGTGCAAGTGAGGATGACGACAAACCCAACGACCTCAGTAAGTCAGTTGTGAGACCAGCACTGACAGAGATAGACCAGGTGACACTGGTACTTAAAAATGTGACCTTAAGTACAGCATGCTAGGATTCATGAAGGGTATAACCTTACCTCTTCTGCTTTTCCACTTTTGAGGGATCTTGGGAAAGAAGATCTTTCTCTGATCCTACCAATCAGTAGGGATACACTCCAAGTGGTGTTGTATGGTAGAAGCTATAGCAAATTGCCACTGGCACCACCCCAGTTCCCCAGTTTCCAGGGAACTAATAAATTTTCATAGAATCAGGGCATGGTTTGTGGTGCCATGGGCAGGGACATCTTCCAGTAGACCACTCTCCAACCTGGCTTTGAACACTTCCAGTGATGGGACAGTCACAGCCTCTCTGGGCAACCAGTTCCATGAAGTTATAAAATATTTCTAGAAAGACAGAAAAGAACCAAATGCCAGGCTGTGCTGGGCACCATGGCAAACCTGAGATTTCTGTGGGCCCAGGAGAGAGAGGCAAAGCAGAGTATCACTGCTGGGGTAACAGCCAATGCACACTCCTGCCCTGAGGCTGAGCCCATCATGTTTCCAAGAAGAGTGCTGAGGGAACAGCACTGTCCTTGCAGCTGCCTCAATGACAGGAATAATGTGCTGCAGAGCTAAGGGGGACAATGGGATGATGATAATGAAAGTACAGGAGTGAAAACTCATTACTGGAGATGCTCAGGAGGCATCCTGAGGGATCCCCTTAGGCTTCCTGGGCTGCTTTAACCCTTTGGGTGAGGCTCTGGTACTCAGGCCAATGTGCTGTGCTGCTGACTGTGCTCTCCTCCTCTTTTTCTCCCATTTCTTTATGAAAACAACTTTCCCTTTCCCCACACAGAGTGCAGTGCACACCACAGCACAGACACACCATGCCCTTTGGCATTCAGCTTCCCGGGACTGTGCATGCAGAGCATAGTGGGGTTTCTGGGCAGCTGGTCCAGAAAAGAGTCCAATAATATTTTCTCTTATGCCCAGCAGCTCAAATGGAGATGGGAGCAGTGACTGGACAAGACAGACAGCCCAGTCTCACAGGTGAGCTCATTCCCTCCCAAGGAGAGAAGATTTCCCTGACTGGTTTTGGGTCTCCTGGGGCAGAAGGAATCTATTTCAGCATTGTTAATATTGCTTAGGATGCCCTGGCATCCTGCCACGTTTCTGAAAAGTTCGAGATGCCCCTCAACCATCTCCATGGCAACTCTGGGATGCTGATCCCAGCTGGACACAATGTCCATGTCGGAACAGCAGGCTGCCAGGTTCATCTTCCCCTGTCTTTTGGAAGGGCAGAAGGAACTGAGAGGAGCTCTGGTTCCTCTTGATGCACTCCCAGGCTGCTGGAGGAGCAGCACATCAGACACCAGGGTGCTTTGACCTGTGGGAGGAGCCAAATGGCTCTTCCCAGCTGATAGCAAAATTCCTGGCAAAGGTATTTTTGGCAATTTTTTTTGGAAGGTATTGCTACCTGGCAAAAGAATTTTTGGAAGGTTGGGCTGGTACAAAATGATTTGGTGTTTCGGGCTTCTCCCACATCCTGGAAGTGCAAGCAGCCCTTACCTGGTAGGTGTTTCATATTCCAGTCCATGTCAAACAGCCCAGCATCCCCATGGCAGGGCAGCAGGAGTACAGGACACCACTGTGGTGTCGGGATTTTGGATGGGAATGGCAGGAACAGTCAACCTGAGAGAAAGTGTGGCCCTCAAGGAAGGCAGGAAAAGCAGAAAAGGAGGATTTCATCCATGCTTCCAGGGCTTTAGCCAAAAGAAATGAGTTTATGTGCAGAAGAAACAGTCCAGCCTTCCCTGGGGACACATTCTTCCTGCCAGCAGCTTCACATGTTGTGAGGGACACAACAGATCTCCTTCGTGTCACTCCAGTCCTGAGAGCACACAGAATCAGCAGGATTCCAGGTCCAAGGATGCACAAAGGCAGAAAAACCCAGCCTGACTCACCCTGAATTAAATACATACATCTCCTTTGGCACTGTCACACCTCACCCCATCCTGACAAGCACAAGATTCTTCACTCAAGAGCACCTGAGATGGGGTTTTGGTAGCCATAGCTCAGAGGGATGCCCACAGAAACACCAGGGGTACTTCTTCAAACAGAAGCCTTGCAGCAAATTCCAACTGTTCAACTCTTACTCCTGACACTGCAGCAAATATGGACAGAGCTTCTCAAAAACCAGAGCCAGTTACCTCTACACTTCTCCAAGGTAATGGTGGACTTGCTTCTGTTGCCAGTGTTGTGTCCTCAGCTCATCCAAAGCTCAGGTGTTCAAGATCACCATGAGAGCATCCAGCTCTTCCACAGCATCCTGGCACCTTGGGTTAAGAATAACTCCAGTGAGGGCCATTCTATGACCTTGCCCCCAAATGACCACTCAGGTCCTTCAGCTCTAGCCCAGGTAAACACCACTTGGAGCCTGTCCTTCTGCAGGCCAAGCTCCCAAGGAACAGCAGCCCCACTCTTAGGGTGTCTCAGGAAGGAAGGTTTGGAGGTTCAGCACCCCAAGGTCACCGTCACTCCAAAAGGGTTGATTCCTATGATGTCCACATCCCTTCAAACATCTTGACTCACACTGAGCTCCAGGTATTTTTTCCAAACTTGCCTTCCATTTACATTTACCTTTGCTATTGTATTAGAGAATATCAGGCTGGCTGGGCAATTGAGACAACTCCTTTGTCTACTGGGTCACCAAGAAGGTGACCCTTTGCTCATCCCTGCAGCAGAGAGATGTTGATAAAAAGCAAAAAAAAGGACTTTCTGCATCTCCCAGGATATGCCATGCTGCTTGTTTAATTAGAAGGGGCAAGGCTCCCTCCTGAATAAACCAGAAATAGCCTTCCAGGGAAAAAAATAACCCTGCCTGGGTATTCTGGGGGATTGTTGGAAAGAGCAGCTATACATCTCCCCCAGTCTTGCACAATACAAGAGCCAGAATTTTGGAGGAGGAGTATGTCCAGAAAGCCAATCTGCTCTGGGAGAGAAACCTCCTTCACCTTTAATGCTGGTAAAAGGAAATAGAGTGTATTTTCCTCTCTCCTGTATGTTTTCATCTGCCCATCTTGGATGCATTTGGTGTCACACGTCACCCCCACATGTCAGGGAGCAGCTTTGTGGGGAGTGCTTGACAATAAAGCTCACCTCCAAGGGCACAGCTAATGGATAATTCACGTTACCAGAATACCTTAACAAAAGCACCCTAAACCCTCTGCAGGGTCACACAGGCCCCCACTGCCTTCAAAGGATAAGTTATTTGAAGATTATACAAGGATTAATGTCTAATGACTGCATGCAGCCCGGCCAGGACCACTCCCTTCATCCAGAAAGGCCAGCAGCAAACCCCAACATGCAGGCTTAAGGTCAGGGATGCATGCTCGGACAGACAAGTCAGGATAGCTCTGGAGAGCCTCACAGCCTTCAGTGGCTGAAGTCCTGCCAGCAGCCCCCTCCTCTCTCCCTGCCTCTGGCAGTGCTGGGGACAGGGGCAGTGCCTCCAGGTGCCACAGGCAGAGCCCCATGCAGCTACCAGGGAACGAGGAGCTCCGTGCCAGCACCACCCGAGGTGCCCGAGGACACACGGCCACTCCTGCGGGGACACCCGGGACATCCGTGTGGTATTTTTTGTTTTTAAGAAACCGTAGCAAAACATCTGCTGAATCCACAGCTGCTTCGAGAGCTTGTTCTTGGAGGAACAAAGAGCAGCTATGTTCACAGCAATGTCTTTTGTCACTGAAGAAAGGGAGAGTAGAAAAAACCAGCAGAAATATTTGCAGTTCTCTCTCGGAGCACTGAGCTGCGACACACCCCGAGCCACACCCCGCTCCTCACACAGCTCCTCTCACAACCCTGTGCAGGCAGGGTGTCCTCAGGTTCCTCATGGAAGGAGTGCTGGGCAGTGTCATGAGCCAGGGAACAGCCAGGCTTGCCTTTTATCCCCAGCAATCCCACTCAAAATGCAGGGCCTCCTGCCAGAGGCTCGCCCACCTGTGGACAGGTATTTCTCCACAGGAGGCAGAATTCGCCTCCAAAGCATCGCTCCCGCTGTGCCTCTCAGAGGTCACAGCATTGGCTCAGTTCTGAACCAGCCCTCATTGTCTCCCTGACATCTAAACATGTCCTTGACCTCCCTGGCAGGGCTGCCCCTGCCATCAGTTAGCTCGTGTGGTGGATACCAGGAAACTGAATACATGGGCTTATAGTTCAGTGGAAAGTTCTGCTGCCGTCTTAAATCATAAAGCACAGCTGCTGACACAGCAGAACTGCAGAATGAGGCATCTGAGCAGCCTGGGCTTGGAAAACGCCGGCAGGAGAATAAGGGCAGGGAGGGAGAAAGGACAGGGAGGCCAGGAGAGCAGATTAAAGCTCACCAGAGTGCAGCTGTAATGTGTTATCCACCATGGATGTGTCCCAGCCCTCCACAGCTCATTTGCAGTTGAGAGAGGAAAAAGGAGCTGAGATTCAATGTCTGCAAATGCAAAGTAACGGCTGGGAACAAACAAAACAAACCCCAGACTTCAAATATATCTGCAAACACACACAGGATAATGAGCTCTGAATGAGACATTCTGAGGAGAGGGATCTTGGGAGCCTGGGTGGTGAGTAAAGCCAGCCTAAGGCTGGGATGGCTTGGGCAGGGAGGGTGTGGAGAACAGGACAGGAGCCACTGGCACCTCTGTACATGGAGCACAGCTGGTCTTGGTCTCCCATCTCAAAAGGGACACAGCAAAGCTCGCAGGGCTCAGAGGAGGAGGAGCAGCAACAGGGAACAACTCCTGCAGAAAGGCTCTGCAGCTCAGAGGTGATGCTGGAACTGCTTCATGGACAGTTCAGCTGGCAAAAACAGGGACATTTTATGTGTCACAAGGAGTATGACACAATGAAAGGCAGAAGTTTCAAACAGTAGGTATCAGCCATCGATCAAAGGGATCAGGATATGTTAGTTCCAAATTACATTAAGGGGGGTTCACCTTTAGATGACTTTGGTGCTGCCTCCAATGTGGTTACAGGCCCAGGCTTTCTCTCCAGACAGTGGAGAAGGCTCTGAAACACCAGGGTGTAACATGTCCCAAGGTGGGCAGCCAGGGCAGGTCACCACACCAAGAGGAAGAGCAGCCCTAGCACTTTTTCCAATGCATGCATCTACAACTGTTCTTTCCAGTCTTGGAAAAACATTTGGACACCCTCACCCATGGCCCTGGCAGAACCAAGATTCCCAGCAGCCTCCCTGCAACAAGCAGAGGTGGAATATCTTCCCAGCACACCTACTGCTAGAGCCTTTAAGGACTTTTGTGAAGGCAAAACACCTGCACTAGAGTCAAAACCCTTTCCTGGGAATGCAGCCTACAATTTCCCTTTCCACCCAATGGGATTCAAATAACCTAATTCTTGCTCTACATTCGTACACTCCCTCTCTCCCCTAGATCCCCCCAGAGACATGCCAGCCATGTGGTAAATACATGTAATCATGGCACTCTGATTGCAGCTTTTGCTCTCTGGCCATTAATTCTTCTCCCTGGGGCCTTGGTGAGTGTTTAAAATCCTGCAGCAAATCCAGTGAGCTGCCCTTATTTGAAAATCAACATGGCATAAAAGGCTTTCTCCTTTCCCTCCTCAAAATGTAAATAATTTTAGCTCCAAAAATATCCTGACCCATGGACAGATATTGCTGGTCGTGTCCTTAGCTCAGGCCAATGAGGATGTTACTGTTTTCCATGGAAAACTCATGGAGCAGAGGGCTCACTGCTGCATGGGAGGCAGCAGCACCCACCTCAGGCACAGATGTGCTTTCCTCATGGCACACACCACAATTCACCATCACAAACCTTCCCTTTCCCCTCTCCAGAAGAAAATAAAGGATGAAATAGGAAAAGGGATAATGCAAAAGAGCCTTTCAAACCCAGCCACCTTCTCCCTGAAGACTGGCATTTTTAGGAAAGCAGGAGCTCCCTGTAGATGCTTTCAGTGTGCTGGAAGCACCTTGTGGCATGACACAGGTGAGGCCAGTGCAGGAGGGAAGCAGGGGGTTCTCAGCCCCTGGGCAGCCAGGCCAGGAGCAGCCACCTCATCACTGAGAGAGAAAAAAGGAGACTCAAGTGATTTGTTCAGCCTGGCAGGAAGGGCACTGCAGCAGCCCCCAAGGCAGCAACCTCCATGTGCTCGGCTGCGGAGGCTCCAGCTCAGAGCTGCCAGGGAAGAAACATCCAAGCTCAACAACATCACCAGAGCATCCACACCAAGGTCAGCTCAGATCCCAGCATGGCCTGGCTGCACCACTGGAACTGGCCCTTCCCAACATCCCCAGATGTGAGCCATCACATCACCTCTTTGGAGCTGGAAAGGAGTAAGGACAAGAGCAGATCTGGAGGAGCAGAGAGGCTGGGACACACAGGGAAATCCCTGTGGAGGGGAGGCAGGAGCAGAGTGGAGAGGGTTGGAGAAGATTTTGGTGCAGGACCTGGGTGACACCAGCCTTAGGATTCAGCTGTGCCAATGAATAGCTGAGGAGAGCAGACTGTCCCACCTGGGATGTGAGGGAGAAGGGACAGCAGGAACAGGGGCTGCACCCCAGGTGAGTGGCTGGGGAGGAAAGGGTGCTCTGGACCAGGCAGGATCTGTGGGGCTCAGTGACAGGTGACAGGGGGGTGCTAAAGGCCAACAGGCAGATGGTGAAACTGTGATTAGAAAGTCACTCCAGCCATAAATCTCAGGGACCTGAAATGGAGATGGGCAAGCCCCAGATGGCTTGGAAATCTGCTTGGCAGAGTCCAGCACGGCTCAGCGTGCATCTGGCCCTTCTTCCTCCTCCTCCTCCTCCTCACCAGGTTTAACCACCTCCAGCCAGCTCCTCACAGCCAGAGCTGAACTGGGGACCCCTGAAACAAAAACTACATTGTCATCCATCCTTGACACAGGACCCTGGCTGCATTACTGGGGGTTACAGGGCTCCATCCCTGGTGCTCCCTTCCTGGCAAGAATGCTGTGGCACCATCCAGGGTGGCACGGGGGGCTCAGGACTGTACCATGGTGCACCAGCAGAGCTGGATGGATGCAGGTTCCCTGCGGCTATTTCTGGATGTGCTGGGGAGCTGCTTAGGGCTGGATTTGCAGGCGAGCACGGGGGCGTATCAGCTGTCCATGCTCTGGAAGGGACTCAGGAACAGAAAAGGGGCAGGAGATTGGGAGGGGACAGGTTTTATATAGAGATCCACGGGAAAACCCGTGTCTCCAAACACAGTAACCTAACACCAGGTGGTAGTACCAGTTCCCGCCCGTGGATCCAGGACAACAAATTTCCCCACCTGCAGGCAGAGGAGCCCATTGCTCCCACACCCCTGCCTGAAAAGCCTGAAAGGCACCCTGCTCATGCCAAGCTCCCGAACCCCCTCTCTGCCAGCGGGTGCCTCCCACAACCTTTCCCAAGGCTGCCGGAGAGCCCTTCAGCCCACAGGTGCTGTCGCTCCCCCGGGACCCCCGGCCAAGGCGGGGGCTGGCAGCACGGCCGGGACACGGGCCAGTGGTAAAATTAGAACGCGTGTCCCTGCCAGCCCCTTCTGTGAGCTGCAGGGACCAGCTGAGCCCGTCTAACCCGCACTGTAACCCTTCATGTCCCCCGCATTGTGGGCTGGGACAGTTACTAGAAAGCCAGGGATTTACAGGGCTTTCCTTTTTGATCAGCTGTGTGCAGCTACCCCAGACAGCCGAGCTCGAGGGCTGATGGGGCAAAGAGATGGGGTTTTTTGGATCCTTTGGGACGGTTGGGATTGCAGCCTGCAATTCCCTTCTCTGCTGTCCCTTTCCACGACAGGCAGTCCTGCAGAAACCTGAAGGTTTCTGAAGGCTCATGTCCCCTTTCCAGCCCCTTCTCCCCACAGCTGCCCTCCTCCTGCAGCAGTTATTGTTATTATTTACGCTCCTAAGCATCCTTTGAGTTCTGCCGGAGGACAGGATCCAAAGAGAAAGCCTTTTAAGGATTTGTGCCAGCGCCGGGAAGCGAATCCCCCCCAGCGAACAGTGGTGTTGGGGGATTTGAGTGTAGACAAGTGCTTAAAGCTGAAAAGGGCAAAGAGAGGGGAGGGAGCCGGGGACACGCTCTGAAACCAGACCCCCTCCCCCGCCCGAAACGCAGCTCCTTCCTCTGCTTTAGGAAACGGATCCCTCCTGCGATTTCCTTTCAAAGGTGACTTGTAACCTCTTCATTAGGGTCGGCTTTGGCAGAGCCCTGATGGGCTGCGCTGGGCGGGAGCGCGCTCGCCTTGCCAAGGCTGGGCAGCACTCGCGGCTGCGGGGCGCGGCGGAGGCTCGGCGGCAGCACCGGCGCCCCGGCCATGAGCTGATGGGTACCATGGACTTTAAGACAGATGCCAGTGCAGTCACCATCAATCTGCTGCTTATTGTGCGCCCCGAGGAGGCGGCGAGCAAGGAGAAGGGGCAGCGAGAGGGGCAGACAGAAGGCGGCCGAGGCGCAGGTAACATCGCGCCTGCACCGGGCGAGGGAGGGCAGGGCTGCAGCTGCACACGGAGAAGAGAAGCGGCAGCTTTGGAGCAGGATTTGGGCTTCCTCTCCTCTTCCTCCTCTTTGCACACATGCTGCCAGACTCCAAAATGCCAACTTTTTTGTGGCAGTCCGGCGCGTCTCCGCTGGTGCAGCAGAGCCTCTCTGGAGGCAGGCTCGGAGCTGCGCCCTGGCCAGCTGCAGTGCGCACGGAGCAGGGACACGCAGGGACATTAATCCGAGCGCTGTGTTCGCACCCTGCTGTGTGCTCTGCTGGCCCCGAGGTGCCCCCACGGGCTCTCTGCGCCTTGCGAGGGGAACAGGGAGAGGGCTCGGCAGGTTCACCCCACAGCAGCACTCTCTGCCCTGGAGTACAGGAGCAGAACTGTTTTGTTTGCAACGTGCCCAGGCTTTGTCTCCGAGGCTCACTGTCCTGAGCCATTTATAGCTACAGTTTGGGACAGTGTCCCTGGCCCAGCTCCCTGTCCTGTGGAGGGTCTTCCAAAAAGCTACGGCTGTGCTCTGCAATTGCAAGGGGAGCGTCCCTGCAGAAGTAAAGGGTGGAGAATGAGTGTTTCTGCTCCAAAACCTGGGAGAGAAGCTGAATTTTCAGACAACCAGTCCCAGGCTAACAACTATAGGCAGAGCTGTCACAACGTCATGTGCATGCTCCATCAAGCACGGCATTCAGCACCTGCTCAAATAAGAGCAAATCCTACCAAAGCAGCTTAGGCCTGGACTATTGCACTTTCTGCCCCCTGGTATTCCACACTTTAGCAACAAAGAACTGCAAGCCAAGGCTGCAGATGAGACAGAAGGTGGATCCTGATGACACCTGGCATCAGCTGGAATAATGAGTTGCATGAAAGAGTTTGGGGTGCTTGGCCTTCAGGCAGAGCCAACACTTCAGTCCAGGAGGACCCTGCCAATCCCTCATTTCTATCTTACAGGTTCGGAGGGTGATGGCAATGGAAACAGCAGATCACAGCCGCCTCAGGGCCCAGACCTGAATGGTATGTCACCCTCTCCCTCTGTGAGAAACCAACCCCAGCACACAGCCCAAAGCTCCAAGCTGTACCCTTTGAGCATAAATGTGCTTCACACAACCCATCCCTTTCCAGCAGGGGTTCCAGTGGAGGCACACAGAGGGCCCTGGGAAGCCTTCCCTCCACACTCTCCATGCCCATGGACAGGATGCACAGGGGTGGCACTGCCGAGCCCCTGCACATCCATCTGCAGGGATTCTCCTGCCATGGAGCTCACTCGGATTACAAGCACACGGAGCTCTTACATTTCACAGCCAGCTGATGGCAGGGGAAATTCAGTGACCCCAATTGCTCAGGTTGCAGCTAGAGCTTCCAGAGAGTTCCCCAGAACTCACACAGCTTAAAGTAGGGTCTGGGGGATGTGAAGAACCTTTTCAACCATCTCTCCACCAGTCCTTTCTTCATTTCCACCCCTCAGAGACCAAGCACAAGGCAGGTGAGATTGCTGACCAGGAATGATGTGGATTCTAGTTCTTAATGTTCTGCTGCCAATTCCCAGACTTCTGCCCTAAAATAGTTGAGGAGGAATATCTGAGGAGGTGATCCTGGAACTATGGAGCAGCTCCCAGGGAAGGGACTTAGACCATCCCACTTGCTTTCCTGGCAGTCTAAGCCTACTATGGCTCAGCAGAGAAAGGCAGGGGGCAAAGGTAGAGCAAGACACTGGTAACTTTCATGCTACCAGACAGTGGATTTTAGTTACACCAAGGAGGAACTTTGCTTCCACAGGTCAGGTAATAGCAGTGTGCAAAAGCCACAGCTACTCCCAGCAGGATGCCTGGAAGGAGCCCTGATCCAAGCTCCTCTGTAATCTGTGGTGGCTGGAGGCTGCACACAATCTGGGAGCAAACAGTATTTCATGGCAAGGCACTACTTGGGGGCTTTTTTTAAAAAGCAGATAACAAAAGCCTCCACTCTAGGAAGCAGATAAATATCCTGCATTCTCTCCCTCTGTCATGCTCAAGAGGTTCTGCAACCAGAGCTGCAGAGTCAGCCTCCTCTACGAGTGAGTAAGAGGCTGATATTGATCATTTCCCACCATGAATTAATGGCAGGACTATTTAGCACACACATGGGAATCCTTCCCTTGCAGCTCTACCTTAGGCACAATTTAAACCCCTGGGAGGGGGGAATTCAGACACCAGAGGAGCAGGCAAAGCTTTGGCTCCTCTGGCACCACAAGGGTTAATGAATTCCCTTTCACCAGCCGTGGTCGTGTGCCTATGAGGCCTCTGACACCCCTGGTGCTGCAACAATATTTTCAGGTTTATATAATCCCCAGCCCCGCTGTGTAAGAGGTGTGGCCCTACTCCACAAGATCCCGTTGCTCTGGGGCTGGTCCCCGTCACGGCCACACGGCACGAATGGACTCGGACAAGCCGTCAGATCCGGGTTCCCCCTGGCCTCTGGTGGCTGGTGCGATGGGGATCGCAGGACGCTTTGAAAAAGAGCGAGAAATCACCTTGGCCAACACCCAGCAGAGCCCGGAGCGATGGCTCCGTGTCCCCTGGCATTTGCTCCCTCCCCGGGACTTGTGCTGCTTCCACCCGTGCAAACCCTGAGTACATCAAGGGCTGCCCCGAGGACTCCAGGTCCAAGACAGCCAGGGTCTCCCAGAAGGGAGGTGAGGATCAGCTGCTGACAACCACACGAAGTTCTGCCCTTCTGTCCCACCCAGCTCTCCAGACGCCCCCTGGTCCCACACCCCTGCCCTGAGCAGCAGCAGGCTGGGCTGGAGCATCCCTCTGGAGAGGGGGCAGGCACCCCGGAGCAATTGAGCTTTGAATCTGAAGAACAGGGTTGAGCTTCCTGAGTCTTTCCCTACCTCACCGCCGAGCAGGGCTGATTTAACCCCATCCTTGCTGACTGTTCCCCTCTCTCCAAGGCACTGAGATGTTTCCCTTTGTGCCCCCAGGCCGGCGTGGCCCCACAGACCCCTGTGAGCAGACACCACCCATCACTTTGGGCCCTGACAAAGGTAAGTGGTGACCCAAGAGACAGAGCAGGGCTTCACTCAGCTCCCAACAAGCTTTTTCTCCAATAAAATAACCTCAGAGCATCCCAAAAGAGAGAAAATATCCCACCCTGGGACAGCTGCCCCTCAAAGCACTTGCTGGCCAAGGACTTGTCTGGCCACAAAACACAAGGAGAACAGCAATGGCTTCTCTGAGCTTGAAGCAACCTGGTCTAGTGGCAGGGAGTTGGAACAAGAGGATCTTTAAGGTCCCTTCCAACCCAAACCATTCTATGATTCTTTATGAAGGTATCTCAATCAGAAATAATTAAATAAGCAATCATAAAAGCACCAGCAACCAGCTCATACCACCAGTTTTTAAAGTAATGATATAGCACATTGAAAAATTCCTGTGGAACTACATTTTTCATTTGTTAAATGTATTTTAAACTCATCAGCAAAAGGCACTCAGCACGAGTAAGTTTGTTTTTTAAGAACAAAGAATTTTTATTTGTGGGGGAAACTTAGAAAGTTGGGGAGAAAACCCACAAAAAAAGCAAAGTAAAAATAATCTTGAGCAATAAAAAAGGACCCCTGGAAATATAAAAACTTCAAGGAAATCAAACCATTTGCATAAAGTCTTCTCTTTGAGAAACAACTTCATTTTATCTTTGAATTAACTGACAAAATACACCAGCCAGCTCTGTTCTGACATCCTGATATCTGCAACCATCCTAAAGCTGGAGTAAAGCCCTAAGATTTAAGTTTTTACAGCTTCTACAGTTTTTCTTTCTTGCTGGTTTTGGGGTTTGAAGGAAATTGAATCTCTCTGCATAATCATAGGAGAAACTTCACTTTTCTAGGGGTAAATGCTGCAGAAAAACTTATTATTTGAAGAAAATGCAGATTCCCACCTAATTAGTCAGTTCCAAGAGCTGACTTTAAAGGAAAACCCCAAATGTCAGGAGGCTCTTGATAAACGTGCAGGAGGTGTGACTGGATGGCAGCCCCGAGGTGCATTAACATCCTGACCTTCAGCCTCCTGAGTAACTCCTGCCTGATCCAAAACAAAAGCCCAGGAGCACATGGAGCCCCTCCAGGGAACCTCCAGACCTGCAAACCCTTCTGAAATACCTGCCAAAAAAATGTAGTCTCTGTCAAAAAGTTCAGGTAGTTTTTATAAGAGATTCCCTCACTCTTTTTCTGGTCTTTCCCTTTCTGAAACTTTAAAGAGCAGAGCCCAAGTTTCCAGGGGAGGTTTTTCTGGAGCATCAAGGTACGCCTGGACCACAGCTGGCTCCGCCAGGATGCAGTCTCTTACAGGCAATGGACTTTGCCAGATATTTTAGTATCACAAGTCCAACCATTTTCATCACTTCAAGCTTTCCTCTGTTTAATTCCAAGAAAAATCAATGAAATACATTGATTCTCTGCTTGCTGTAGCTCCATCAAGGGTCTTTAATATGGTGATAAACCTTGGCTATCACCAGAGCTGCTGCTTTGTCTAAAGTTAAGAGCTGCCTCAGCAGATACTCCTGCCCTCTCCTCCATATCCTGGTTAGTTTTCCCTTTTTAGGGAGTTTATCATTGTTTCTTGCAGGAACCCAAGTGACAGTGGAGATTCACCACAAGGATACCAGCCCCCAGCTCATCAAAAGACTCTCCTTGGGAAAAGGTACAGCCCCAGCTTTAAACCCCAATAGAGGCTCAGCCCATCCTCCCTTCCCTTCACCAGGTCTGGGGAGCCCGGGCGGGGCTGAGGGGATCCCACTAACCCTGCCCGGTTTGTTGCAGGTTCCCAGAGGCTGAGAGGACACGACAACAAAGGTGAGGCTCTGCTCTATCACGGTGTCTCCAAGCTCTCCCTCCCATGGGAGGCTGCTCCCAGGAGGAGAGCCTCATTCCTCCCGTGGGGAGGCTGATAAAGAGCACATGAGGCTGGACCCTGCCCAGGACTGGGGCTTGAGGAGAAAAATCCTTCTGCTGTTGGGGTATGGGTGTCTCCTCCTCCTCTGGTCCTGGGATAAGGCGAGTGGTGACATTCCAGCGTAGCTCAGCTGTCCCCCAGATGCCTCAGAGCTCCCACTGGGGTTATCTAACAGCTCTGGAGCTCAGTGCTCCCTTCTTCCACACCTGGGGAGGTTCAGCCATGGTGGAATGGGGTTTGGTGTCCCCAACCCTCAGGCAAGAACAGGAGATGCCTGTCTGCTGGGGAATGTGGGCTCTGCAGGATGGCAGGGAGAGGATGCAGAGCACGCTCCACAGGGTGCTGACATCCACATCCAAATGGAAGGGAATGGGCAAAGAACAGCCTCAGTTCCAGCTTTTTCCACCCAATCCTGCTCCCCACAGTAATTTATTTCTAGTTGTCTTTTTCCTGCGGGCAACAACCTTCTCCCTCCCTCTCCCTTCTCTGCTTTGCAGGTTTCCATAAGACTGAGGCCCCACGGCCACCGGGAGCAAAGGACCTCCATGGTAACTATCCCTTAGCACGAGCTGTGTCCAGCTCCCCAAACCCCCATTCATTGGGATGGCAGAGGGAAGTGGCTTTGGGAACATCACAGGTGCCCAAGCCATGCCCAGGGCTCTGTACCAGGGAAAGCAAATGGGCACAAGGCACAGGACTGTCTGAGGTACTGTGGATCCCACTCCTGCACAGAGCCTCTGCAGATAGAACCTGCCAAAGACAAAACCACATAAAAAAATACAACAAACCATCCCCTTACCAAGGGGCAAAAAGTAATTTTTAAAGCTGCAGAGTGGGAACCTTTAAAAGAGTAAATCTGCTTTCTCTCTCTTTAGGTCAGTGTAACAACTTTAGGTCAGTGTAGCACCTCTTTTCAGGGAAAAGACGGATAAACAAACCAGCCTGATAAGAAATATGTGTCATGTGCCTACATGCTGATTTTGGCAGACAGGTGCCTGCCCAGCACAGGGACTATGTCCATCCATTCCCCATGGCTCACTGATAGGAGACAGCAGTGTCAGCTCATTCCAAGGCTGTTAAAAAAAAAATCCGTTATCTGGTTAATTAGGGCGAATTAATGCTTTGTTCACACTGAATAGAACCAGGAGCTCAGAACCTGCAAAGATGTGGAGGGGAGGGTTGGCATGGCAGGTTCAGTCCAACTGGTCCCAGTGTTACATTCCTCATGTGCCTGAATTCCTGCAGAATTGTGGCCCTTTACCATGCAAAACTCCTAGAGAAACCCAGCTATTTATTGCTGGGGTTTTTTTAAGAAGTCATGTGTTTTCTAAGGCTTGCACTGATACTTCTACATTGATCTCCTGTGTCTCCATTCTGTATCCCAGGATTTTCCATGCTGTTATGCAGTGCCAAAGTTGCAGGGGCAGCTCATGCTCCAGCACTGCACAAATCCTAGCAGCCTAGACAGGATGGCTCCTGCTTTCCATGCAGCTGGCAGGGACCTCCTGTGGGTGCCCTCGTGTCCTCTTCTCCCTAAGCACCCAGTGATGGATGTCTTCATGGGCCAGGCAGGAGCTCTGTTCCCTTGTTCCACCATACCGCCAGGAAAAACACTCCCTCCCTTCCCAAAACAATGACAACTCGTTTCTTCCCAGCATATCCATGGGACAAATCCTCTTTGAAATCCATGCCAGTAGATCTGCAGCAATTTGAGAAGCTGGATGCCTACGCATTAAAAGTAAGTCTTGCTTTTGCCTCTGTCCTCCTCCCAGCTCCCCCGTGGTGACGTTCCATGAACCTGGCTCCCAGCACCAGCACCAGCTTAGGCTGAGCTATGGGGCAACGGCATTAAAATCTCCCAAACAAGTGAAAAAACTTTTTTTTTCAACATTAGTGAAGAAAGTCCACTCTGGGAACTATAACCAAAAATAAATGGGCCTATAGCACTGCAGCTCTGTTTTTAAGGAAGCCGGAGGCAGAGCAGTCTCTGGCAGGTGGGGTCTCACTGGCTTCAGAAGAACAAGAGATGGGGAGGACAGGAGATCTACTACAGGGATTTCTTCACCGTGACCTTGCAATGCTTCCTCCCCACACACAGGTGAATGTCAAGAACAGCGTGGAGGAACTGGTCAAAGCCCTGCTGAAACAAGCCCGGACTGACCTGGAAAAGGTCCGAGCCATATGGATGTGGATATGCCATCACATAGGTAGGCTGAGGCCTCCAGCTGAAGATAAGGCTGTCACTGTCACCCCTGTCCCACTGCCATGGCAGTTTACTCAGTGTTTGTGGGTTATTTCCATGTGGGGAGTGGAATGAAGGCTTTCTGGAGGTTTTTATCCAGAAATGCACCCAGAGGGTCTCTCACCACCTGTGTGCCCCAGTCCCTCTCCTCGCACTGCCAGGGCCCCACAAGTTTGTGTGTACATGAATAACCTGTAACTCCATTTGAGGTGGGACTACACAAGGCACTACTATCCAAGAGCCAGAGCAAAAGCCAGGCTGCCCAACACCAGGGGCCTGCTTGTCACCTTCAGAGCCACCTAACACCACCAGAGCCCAGTTTTGAGAGGGTGAACAGGGAGCAGGCAGATTTCAGAAGCAACCTGGTCTAGTGAAAGGTGTCCCTACCCATGGCAGGCAGGTTGGATTGAGATGATCTTTAAGGTCCCTTCCCACTCAAACCATTCCATCTCCATCACTGTGCCAAGTCCCCACAGCCAGATACAGCCCCTCCAGCACATGCTGGTGTCTTTGCTCTGGGAGGGCCCACAGTACCTGAGCCAGGCCTTTTTGGAGTCAGTCCATACTCCTCAACATTCAGAGGATGTCTCTGGCCCTGACAGCTATGCTGGGATCGCCTCACAAGATCTTTTATACCACCTTGGCCCTGGCTGTCATTCCTTCCTGTGAGACTGACCCCTATTTACACACACACAAAAGAGACAGAGTTGGGAATTTAAAACTGCTGGTAAAAATGCAATGTATCTATCCTGGAATTGCATTGATGACATAAACTCCTTCCCTGAATGGATTTTAAGTGAGAACACTGCTCTCTGGGCATCTCTCCCCGCTCTGTTCAATTCCTACCTGTGATGGGCTGCTATGCCCATGCAGCATCAGCATTAAAGCAAATAATTATTTTAGCTGTCATTTGGGGCACAAATAGAAAGCCATGGAGCCAGCACCCCTCAAAGGGCCCTGTAGCTTTGCTGGTGGTCAATGAACAGCCAGGGTGGAGCAGCCAGCCTTTCCCAGCGCCTGGAGCCAACACCGAGGAGGCATCGGCTGAGCCCTCAGATAAAAGACAAGCAGTGGCAGCAGATTATCAAAGCACACACAGCCCACTGCCACTTTTCTTCCTCTGCCCCAGCACCAAGGGCAGGGGAAACCAGCTGATGCAGCATTCCTGAGAGTTCTGTCAGAAAACCGCACCTGTATTTTAAGAAAGAGGTTGTGGACAGGGCCAAGGTTGGTGGTATTGAATTAACCTTCCCAGACCAGTTCCACAAGCTCAGTCTGAAGGAGTCCTGTTGTGCTGCTCTTGTGGACTCATTCCAACAAATCAAGATTTCCTGGTATTGATATGATCAGACTGGACAGGGCTTGGAGCAACCTGGTCTAATGGAAGGTGTTCCTACCCCTGGCAAGGGATTGCAATGAAATTAGATTTAATGCCCCTTCCAACCCAAACCATTCCCCCTTGCAACAAAACTCTACAAGTGTTTCCCAACAAGCTGCTTTTCAAATATTTTTAATAAAAATTGCTTTTATAATACAAATACAAATTGCTTTTAATACAAATTTTCTCTCTAGAAAGAGAGCAAAAGTCTCAGCGGCTTCTTTTGAGGTAACACCAATCCAACTCCTTCAAATGCAGTATGCTCAGGTTTACACTGGCAGCTCTTCAGACTGTAGATCTTCCATTTGAGGGCAATTCCTGAGGACACCTATTTGGTCCAAAAATCAAAGATTTCTTCTCGCTGGGATTCAACTGCTGAACCCCAGCCCAAGCTTGGAGTAAAGGGTGATGAGGGACAGAGCTGTTCCTCTGCCCCAGCAGTGTCCAGGCCACCCTCCCCAGCACAGCCACGGCTCGTTCCCCTCTGCTCAAAGCAACCCGAGCGCTGCTCCTGCTGCCCATCAGTCCCATTGCCTCAGGCTTTTGGATGAACTTTTGTCTCTGTTCCTTCCCCCAGAATACGACGTCGTGGGCTACCACAACAAAAGCCAGCTGTCGAGCAAGCCCAGAGATGTGCTTCAGATGGGCAAGAGCATTTGTGAGGGCTATGCCGAGCTCTTTGAACATATGTGCAGGTAAATTAAGTTCAGAAGCGTTCGATGCCAGGGAGAGTTAACATTCCTTGTCATCTCCATGCCTATCCTGTCTGCCTTTGCATTGACTGATGTGACTTTAAGCAGGACATGGAACTTAAGCTTTCCAACCATGCTGTGGAAAAACAGCAAGTCCTAGAAAGGTCAATTTTGCTCTCTCCTCCACTCCCTCCACCCCCCTCCCCAGCATAATTTACTTGGTGCCATCTGCTGAGCTTCGCATTGCATTAACATAATGGCAGATGAAAACACGGAGATAATTTGATTAGAAGAAGTAGGATTTTCCTTGGGGTATCTGGATGTGAAGGTTAAAAGCATCGCAAGACTTGAACAAGGAGTGCCGTCTCCAACATGCTCCCTTGCAAGAGGTAGGCAGAGTCCCAGGAGGAACTTTCCCTAACCCCTCTGGAGATGCCCTGTCCCCTCCAGGAACACCCCAGGAATGCTGCCTTGCACTTACCTCTCCGTCCTCTGCCCCATCAAGGTGCAGCACTGTTGAGGCCAATACTGCAACTCCCATTTTGTAGCTACCATTGGCATTTAATGACTAAAATCCTTTGTTCTGCCAACAAAATCTCGTGGACTTCACTGGGGATGGAGTCACCTGAACTTCCCCACTGAGCAGGGCTTTATAGTCACAAAGCCATTTCTAAGAGGCAGCCCCTTTCCTTGGTAAGGAGCACAGGGATGCAGCCCCAATCCCTAAGGAGAGCCCCAGAAATCCACAGCAAAGAAAGCAGTGAAGGTGCTTGGAGGTTTGGGGATCAGTCTTGGGTGGAAGGGTTGCCAAAAAGGAGAAAACTGGACCTGACAGCTCAGGGACAGGAGACTGGAAGGGAATTCCTATAGTAATCCTAAGAGGGTGGGCTTCCATTCCCTTGGAAAAATCACAGACTAGTTATTAATAGCATGTGTAAGTGACAATTGGCTTTCCACACCATCCAAAAGGATTTGATAAGGTTTTCACAACGAAACAGACAAAATCTACAGGGAAAAGGAGAGATTAAAAAAAAAAAAACCCAGCATACTGTGCCACATGCTGAAGTGGTAAATGCTTCCAGCCAACAACATATCCCAAAATATACATTTGGTCCATTCAACCCAAATTATTCTATGACATTGGATCTTGTTTTCTAAAGAGTAAAGAAATAGGATGGTGAAGTATGCATTTATAGCTGTATCCTATGGAATAGTTATTAGCAGTAGAAGGGGGGAATTTTCATCTGTTCATTAAAAAGCATATGCTTAGTTCATTAAAAGCATTAATCTTTCCAAGGATATCTCTAACTATTTAAAGGCTCTGTTGATTTACTCACAATTCCTCAGTTCCAGGCTGATTAGTCACTATGTGATTCAGGAAATCTCCCAGTCATCAAGATTATTATATTGTCAAATATTAGCAAAATGTTTAGCTCCTGTCCTGAAAAATTGTGCTTGAAGACAATACCTCTTTCTTGCAGAGAGATCTCCTGATCCCTTCTCCCTGTGCTCTGTGCTGCTCTTACGCTGAGTCTAAGCGGAAAGGCAGGAGGCAAGGAGTGCTCAGCTTATAAGAAGGCTTTTCAGAGCCAGGTTTTGGGGGGGGAAAAGGGTGTTCTAAGTTGCCTTTTTCTCCTAGCTCTTGTGAGGGAACTTGAACAAACAAACCTATTTGCCAGTCACCAGGAGTCCCCCCAGAAGTCCTGCTGAAGACAACAGCTGACATTGATTGAGTCCTACTTGTCCCAGTGCCAGAGGGAACGATTCCTGCTGCAGACACAACACAGTCACCTCCGACCACAGCTCTGGCAGCCAAACTTCCTCCCATTAGCTGAGATTCCTGTCACAGAGGAAAGGTGGCATGGATAGTGGGAAGCTGGCCATAAGGCATCACTTCCCATACATCAGGTGTGATAGCAATGAATGCAAACAGTGGTTCCTGACCAATATTTCACAGCACTTATCAAGAACTGGCTTCTCAGCTGACAAGCAGACTCAAGGAGGTAGCATGGCTGAGTGAAGCAGTGCAAATTCATGAATCCAGTTTAGGGCAAACCTTGCAGCCTGGGATTAGGGAGACACTCACTCACCAGGCACAACAATTATTTTTCCCAGGAGAGGTGGCCTCACTGCCTAAAGGGGATCTGACCAGTTATCTAGCTGCTCCTTCTTCCTACCCAGTCTGTAAATATTCCAGATTTCACATCCTCTTGCTTCCCCCGTTTCCTGCAGGCAGTAGCTTTCCATCTTTTCAGGCTCAGAGGCGTACACCTACCAACCACAAGCACAAACCATTCTGTCTCCTTCTGGAGAAGTCAGATTTGCTCCTTTTTTAGATGAAATGATCAAAGTCAACCTAAAATCAAAGGGAAGAAGATGCCATTGAATTCCAGTGACGCCTGTAGTAAGAGCCAGACTGTTTCCTGCTGTTCTTGAGGCAGAAAAGCAACTTTGTGTTTAATCTCTTTGCTGCTCCAAGCAAATGTTGCCAACTGTTTCTTAATTCAGTTCTTCCAGTCCATTTTGTATCTAGGTCATCTTCAATCTCACACTGCCACTTCAATCAATTCTGGAGATCTTCCCAATCTTCTCTCTGCCTGCTTAATTTATCTGTATGAAGTCATTGACACAAGAGACATGAGCACCCTTTTCACCAGTATAGAATTGCTCCTTTACAGGATGTATTAGCTTGGATTTTTGTCTGTCCACTACTGGAGAGACCAGTTTAAATGCTCTGGTCTTTATTTTGAGAACTTTGAACACATCCAAGCATATACTCTTTTTGCTGTTTTGCCAATGCTCACTGTAATTGAGAGCACCGTGAGAGCAGAACTTGTCCCTTAATGTTCCCTCTGAATCCCAGCTAACAAGAATGTCTAGAGAAGCCTGGAAGGATTAGACACCAATCCCCATGAAATTAGTGGGAATTTGGTACTTAGCCCCTTGAAACTCCTAGGATTAAATCTTCACTATGTCTCCCAGGCCAGCTCCTAGTCTCAGTTACATCATGCAAATCCAAGCTCTCACCAGTCTTGTCAGTGGAGTTGTTCCAGATTTACTGCACAGCTCCATGTTAGAATTTGACTCTCAGAGGCCTGTGGGCTGGCAAGGGCTTTCCAGACCACCTGCAGCACCAGGTTTCTCCATGGCATTCCTTCCAGCCTGGCCTGTTTATTCTGGATACTCATGGAACAGGCAGTGCCTGCTGTCACTGCTCCATCCTCTCCTTTGCTGAAGTGCCCACCTCCCCTGGAAACCAGCATGGAAAAAGCAGCTCTCCCTACAAGCTCCACTGCACTGCCAATTGCCAGCCAGTATCTGTTATCAGGCCTCAACTTCTTAACAACCATGCTAATTATCTTGCCCATAAATATCACTTTTCTCCTGAGCTAAACCCACATTATGCAGACAATCTCACTCTGGAAGCCTGCACACTTTATTACTTAAGGTAGTTGTTCCATTTAACACACTTCTCAATGAAGAAGAAAAATGTCAATGCTGTCCTACACAAAAGACAGCGCTCCAAGTGAAGCAATTTTAGATTAATGGTGAAATAAGATGCCAATGTTAGAATCCATCAGCAGAGAGCTTATTAACACAGTGCTTATTTAAATCTTATTTACACATCCACACAGGTATTCATCATGTTTTTAGAAAGAGACTGTTTAATCATTTCTACCCTGGGCAAGCACAAGCTCATTCTTTCAGGAAACTAAATCAGCATCCATAATCCCGTGAGGTCTGAGATACCTTAGCTGGTGTCAAACACCAGGCCCACCATCACCGGGAGAGAACAGCCTGTGCTTTTAATTTGTAATTACATGGGCTAATTGTGGACAGCAGCAAAGGGATTCCACTGAGTAACAAGACAGAGAGCAATTAAGCACACTTTATCTTGTCATCCTATAACAGTGCTGAATTGATAGTGCATCAGGCAAAAAGACAGGGAATGTGCAAAATTGTTAGAGAAAAGGACCTTCCTCCAGCAGGATGCTGAGTCTCTGTGCAAAGACTACAAAAACAAACAGCCCCACTCAACAACTCGGGCATCATCACCTTTTCTCTTTCCCCAGAAGTACCTGACAGTTTTAAAACAGAACTCTTCTGTTGCAGCTTATCATTTCCTTTCAGTCTTGCAGGAATTCAGTGCAAGAAGCTATCGGGACATGCCAAGGGACACGGGTACAAGACAGGGCAGACCTTTACAGGGGACTCTGACCATGCTTGGAATGCTGTCTACCTTGAGGGAAGGTGGCATTTACTGGACAGCACCTGGGGCAGTGGTTCTGTGGATGATTCCTTCACCAAGTTCACCTACAGGTAAAGAACCCCCATTATGCTAGTACATAAACCCTCCACAAAGGCAGAAGGAAAGCTGATAGGATTGGCAAACCAAACAGACACATTTGGTGTCACAGGAAGACCCAAAGCAAGGTACCCAGGCTGCCTGTACAAGGCATGGAGCATAGCCTGTAGAGAGGTAGTAGCCCTGAGCAGCAAGTCACAAACTGCTAAAAGCCAACTGGGTTTGCTTGTCACATCTTCAGCTTAGGCAATAGTCTGTGGCACTCGAGCCACAGCTTTTGTGATTGCAGTCAATACCCAGTGCCTCCCTCTCTTTCCAGGAGCCTGTGTGTGCAAGGGAATAGTGCAAATACCAGGGTTTATCCCAAAGCTCAGCATTTGCCCTGGAAACAGAAGACCAAAGCTCAGGTTTCTTTTCCGCCTGGGGAATTTCAAACCCACGAATCTCAGTTTATCCGCAGCTCAAACCACTCCAACATCCTCCTGCTGAAACCACCACCACTGTGCGGGGGAAGAATTCACTATTCGTAATTACTCATTTTCCCTAATTTCTCCCTTCTCCCAGGTACAATGAGTTTTACTTTCTGACTCACCCGGCCCTGTTCATTAACAATCACTTCCCAGATAACAGTAACTGGCAGCTTCTTAAGCCCACGCTGACGCTGAAGGAGTTTGAGAACAACATGCTGCACAGCAGCAACTTCTACATGCTGGGGCTGCTGGCCGCACACCCAGAGACTCCCATCATCCAAACAGGTAAGGGAGAAGCCATGGAGCATCTTCCCTCATGCATCCCACATCCAGCACACACCACTGTGCACCTCTTCAGGCAATCCTGAGCAACCTGAGCGAGTCCAGCAGCTCTTTTGACATAAAACCACTTAGGTGCCACAACTGAACAAGGCCCACATTTAAGACCCCCTCCCTTGGATTTTCCAAGAGCTGCAGGAATTTAACTGGATGGCTAATTTGTGAATGTTAAGAACAGAGTTAAAACCTATGTACATCACCATTTTAGGACATAATGAAGACTTTAAGCTGCTTTGGGAACAGGCTCACAGGGAGGTAGATTAATCTCATAGCTACATACTGGAGAGTTCCTGCAATTTGAAGCTCCTGGGAGCAGCTACTGGGCTGGAAATTTGGTTTAATCACCTCTAATTCAGCCCTTCATCATCACAGAATTACAGAATTCCATAATGGTTTGAGTTGGAAGGGACCTTAAAGCCCATCTCATTCCAACCCCCGCCATCATGGGGAGGGACATCTTCTACTAGACCAGGTTGCCCCAAACCCCGTCCAATCTGGCCTGATGGTACTTTCAGTTATATTTCACACAGGCTTTCACATTTTATCAAACCACAGCTCCACATCAGGGTATATGAGAACAGGATAAATGCACATCTCCCAAACAAAGGCCACTCTCATTCTTCCAGAGGGACGACACTGGTCTAAGCAGACAGCTGACAAGCCATGACCTGCCAGTTGCAGCTCTTGGTTTTCCTTCTAGAAAAACCGCAACTTATTGAGCCAGATTAGCCTTCTCAGAACAGGGGGTGCATACAAAAAGTGCACTGACACTCCTAGGCAGCCTCTTTTCTTTTGTATTTCCCAGTAAATGGAAAAGCCTCTGTATCCGTGGACTGCCGTCCTGGCACGTTATTTATGTTCAAGCTGAAGGGAACAGATGAACACGGTTTGATGACTTTGAAAAAACGCGGGATGAAGCTGGATGTCTACCCACAGAAGACAGGGAGACACAAGCTGGAGATCTTTGCCAAGCCCTCCAAGGCTGAGGCTCCGGATGACGTCTACAAGTGCGTGGTGGAGTACGTGGTGGAGTGCGAGTCTGTGGACAAGGCCATGCGCTTCCCCAAGGACCTGCACCAGCCCGTCGGGCCCAGCTGGTTCTCAGAGCGCCAGGGCTTCCTGCAGCCGTCACACCGCGAGCCCATCCTGCACACCAACGACGGGCGCTGCTCCCTCACCTTCACCCTGGGCAAGGACATCAGCGTCCTGACCTCGCTGCACACCGACGGCAGCAGCCTCACGGAGGACATGGGCAGGCGGCACGTGCTGCAGATCCACCGCGGAAACCAGATCGAGCTGAAGGTCCATCTCCCGCACGCGGGGAACTTCGTTCTCAAGTTCTACTCCAAGAAGAAGTCGGACCCTGGTAATTACGACTACATCTTCAACTACCTCATCAGGTGCCTGAACACGGAGGTGAAGTGGCCAGCCTTCCCCCGGAGCTACAGCAAGTGGCTGCAAGACTACGAGATCCTGGAGCCGCTCTCGGGCCTGCTGCCCGCCAACCGCAACGTCCAGTTCAAACTCAAAATGCACGGCGTTGCCAAGGTGCTGGTCCAGGCTGAGAACACCTACCCTCTCACCCAGAAGAAGGGCTGCTGGGAGGGAACCTGCAACACCTCAGGGTGCAGAGAGGTGTTTGTGATGGTGCATGAGAATGCCAACCACAGCTTCTACTCTCAGGTCCTCAAATACGAAGTTGAGACCCAGTAACACCCACTCCTTGTTCTTTCACTCACCTGCATGAACCAACCTCCCCAGTGTGCCCCAAACCAGCACAGCTTTAGGAGATTGCTCATTCTCTCAACCAAATCTGTTCTTTCAACAAATGCAGGACAACATTTGCAGGCTTTTGCCAGACCACGGGCTCAAAGATGGTCAAGGAAGCAGAAAATCCTGTTAAAAAAGGAGCAGCAGTGGAAGACATGAGATAAAACCCTCGCCTACATTTCAGTAACACTGTCCAGACAAATATTTAGAAGAAAACAACTGACTGTCTGCAGGGCATTCTGTGCCAGCAGGGATTGCTGGTTTCCAAGTTATGGACCATAAGAAAAGTCTTATGAGGGCTACTCCAAGAATTCACCTAGTGATGGGGCAGGCAGGATAAAGAAAGTGCACCCTGGTTTTGAGCAGCAGCATTGGACATGAGGAACTTCAGGAGATTTAAACCAAGTTTCTGTATAACTGTAGTCAAATTGAGAAATACATCCGAGGAGAGAGAAGGCTTAGGAAAAAGATACAACATGAAGTTTCCTTGTGCACTTCACTGTCTTACAGATTTCAATAATACTGGAAAATACTTTTTACACTGACTCTTAAATACAATAAACAAAATCATTTTTACCTTTTTATATTAGAGTATTGTAGACACTTTTTCTGCTGTAATTATATCTGAAGCATATGGGTGTTTCCATAACCAAAATGACAGTAAAAATGAGAATAAAGTTCTCAGAAATCACTCCTTCCTCCAACCTGTCTATGCAATACTGCAACTATAAACTGACAACAGGATTGGGACAACAGGATGAGTGACATTATTATCATGTAACAAACTATTTGGTGCTGTTCTCTTGGAAAACATCTCCATGCACGAGGCAAAGGGGGCTTCTACTGAATCCCACCACAACTGCACATCCTGAGATGGAGCAACATTTTCATTACTGATTCAGATGCCTGTGACTGTTAGCATGACCCAAGAGGTATTTTGTTTGAGTTTGAATTGAAAATAAACCTGTTATGTTTTTGCACTCTGTTTCATTGACCAAACAATATGAATTCTCTTCCCAAAGCTGCTGTATTTTCCACACAAAAGAGGTGGGTTATTCCTACATTGCCTCCTCAGTGACTGAGTGGCAGGAATTACTCACAGGGCTGCCCACCTGTAGCAGGCCTATTCCTACCTTACTCCTTTGACCCCAGCACCCAGGGCTGAGCTCCCATTTAAGCAGGTTACATACCTGCAGCTGGATTCCAGGATCAGCAGCCTCTGTGAGGATGCAGGCTGCTGCAGACAGGAGCTTGCAAGCATAAACACAACGTGTAAGCTAACAGGGCTTACCCCAGGGTAAGCTGGGAGTAGAGCAAAGCTTTGGGGTCTTTTTGTACTTGGTGACAAGAGGCACCATATGCAACATAAAAGTAGGTTTTAAGTCCTTCCCTAAACAGCTCAGTGTCTTTGCCCTCAAAAACTGGTGGCAGCAGCTCCTCCCTGCAGGAACACTAACAAGCCATGGAGCCCAGCAGGCACTCGCTCCCTGGGCATCAGCACAGACTGAGCAGCACAGATGCAAGGCAGACTCCAGGATCTTTTGTTTGCCTAAGGACCTTGAAGGCTAAAGTAAGTATTGTCTGTCAGCACAGACAGCCCTGGTTTATTTTGGTGCCTGGCAGAAGGGTTCTTTTTCTCAGATCCCACTTTTCAGATCAAGGAGAACACACTGCAGTAGTTTTCATTTCACAGGTCAAGCTGATCCAGTCAAATACGTCACTTCTTACAATGGCAGGATAAGGAAGCATCCCAGAGAGCTTAGTGACTAAAGAAAACAACTTCTTCCACAGAATGGGGTCAAGGATACCAAAGTACAGACACTCTTCATGGAACCACACATTTGATGTTCACTTATATGTACACAAATAGGCACAAGTACACAGACAGACACTTTGGTAAAGCCTCTCCGCTATGAATGCAGTCCCTGCTCCTTGTATCAAAGATTCACTTCCACAAGCACTCTCTCTAAGCCCCTATGCTCTATTTCTGTCTCAAGATGGCAGGGAGAACACTTATCCCGAGAGAGAGGACAATTATGTACTACTGCCCCCTACTTAGCACAACCTCAGTATTCCCTGTTCCTGCCACCCAACTCTGCAAAACCCAGGCACCTGCAATTCCACACATCTACATTCTTTAACCCCTCAAGAGTGACCCCAAGCACTGTCACACCCACAGCAGTACCTCTGTAACACACTAAAGACAGATGAAGCTTGCACAGCTTCTCACTCGACAGATGAAGGAAGCGCTGCAAATAAAGTTCCACGCTTTTGTCTCAAACAGAAAACAAACATTGGTTCTGCTCTGCAAGTGTGCAAGAAATTCTTTAGTGCTATCGAAGGCATAAGTTCAAAGACACAAACTCCCCTCTCCAGCTACATTAATTATAAAGCTTCCAGGGCCAGATGATTATTCCAAGGGAGATTTGACACTGCAAAGGCAGAGAAGGCCTGAGAAACCCTGCAGCCCCAGATGAAAGCACCTCAGAAGTCTGCACTTGCTGTGACATCTCCCTCCATGATAAAAATGGTTTCTTCTCCTCCCCCTCATAAAAAATGCACATTCTTCAGCACAAACAAGGTTCCAACACCAGGAGAACAGCTCTGGAACAGACTTTTCAGTTATCTCGGGGCATCTGCAATGAGAGAAGGTGGGAAAGGCAGAGCACACACACACCAACACAGGGAAGTAACTCAGCAGTTCCCCTGCTGCAGATGCTACTTTAGATAAAGTTAGTTCAAAGTCTACTCCCTGAATGAAGCTGCTTATTACAGGTATTATATATATTATATATATATTATATACAGTAATTGATAAAACTGTAGGATTATACCTGCTAATTAAACAAATGGATCATCTTCAGTTCACTCTTCCCTTTTGCCACCATGAACTGCCAAGTATCTCTAAAGGGATATGGAAGAGCACATCAGAAACAAGGCAAAATGTCTCCTGAACTTCTGAAAACAGCAACAGCATGATGCAACACCCAGTAACTAACTTAACAAATCTTCAGGAAATACAATACTATCTGCAAGGTATCATTTCAAAAACTAAATTGATGGCCTCACTGGAGGTTGTAAGGGATCCCTTAGGGTTCTGGCATATCACACAGTGCACCTATAGGTTCATCTGTAAAGAGGAAACAGTTTGGTTTATTCTGCTGTTCAGATTTTATCAAAATGCTCCACACCCAACAAGTCCTTATTTGAGATCTGGACAGACATGGTGGATGTTCCAGAAACCCCATGGACAGCCCCACAGAGGATCCAAGGCCAGTGATGACTTTGTGCAGAACACAACCACAGTCCAGCCCCAGGTGGGGCCAGTTCAGCACATTATGAAGGCTGCACAACAAGAATCCAGAATAGATTTGAAGGTTTTATCCTTGTCAAAGAGCTCCACAAGAAAGCAAAAATACCAGGACTTTTTGGATTGGAACGTTTCTAAACTCTGGGATGCAGAGGTGAAGCTGATGGAAAGGAACAGGAAACTTGTGGACATGGAATGCCCTCATCCCAAGGTTTGTCTGTACAAAGGCCATGAAGACTCAGCCACAGGTGAACTGCAGGGACCCCCAAAAGAAAACAAGTCCATAGGAAATAAGTCTTAATTACTAATAATTCACTAAGTAACAACTTACTTTCCTAGAGAAAAGACTGAATATTTCCCCCAAAAGTGGTCAAGGATGCATTTTGATGCAGCAGTTCCCCTGGACTGTCCAGATTCAGGCTGGCACCAGCTCACATGGCAGCTGCAATGACGTGTGGATGAACCTCACCTGCTTGTGGGTTCTCCTCCCATCCAGTGCCATTTCTCATTCCCATTTCTCTTCTCCAAGAGCCATGACCACATCCAGAATTCAGGCACTCATTCCTCAGATATTCTGCAGTACTTCAAGCACCTCAAGACAAAGACACTAGATACTACACAAATTATAAAGGGCAGAAGCTGCAAGAATCAGGAAATATTAAGAAATTCCACTAAGGGAAAATTAACTGGAAAAAATGCAGATAGCCTAAAGGAAAGAGGAATTTAATTCCTTGTTTTGTGAAGAACATAGCTATGCTGTGAAGGAAAAGGTGTTGATCCAAGCTCCTGATGAGAGGGGAAGATAACCCACAAGAGTAATTTTGTGTATTTGTATGAATAAGAAAAGAGGCGTTTGTCATTCTGATTTATTTCAGTGTTTTTACAAGTATAAAATATACTTTAAATACTTCACATAAAAACTAGAAAACAGTTTGCTTTTAAAAAACACCATAATCTTTGTGAGTGAGCACATAGCTCTGATGCAGGTCTCTGACCTATGGCAAGCTGACTAAAATGTTTGTGGTATAACACCCCTCATCAAAGCAAGCAGATAGACAGGGGTTCCTTTTCCTCAACTCCCACCCTGCTGATTCAGCTCCAAGTGGAACACGTGGCCTCTCACTCAAGCTCCAATCCCAACTGGATACAGGCACCTTCCCAGTCACAGTGTGGAACCACGTAAGGAAACCAGCATTCCAATTCCACAAGAAACATTATTCCTGGTGTTCAAATCGTCTCACTATCTTTGCACTCTCTTTTTTCAGTTCCTCAATGTGAGCATTTAGGCACTCCAGGATGTGCTGGGATCTCACTTCTTCATCTTCCAGGTATCGTGCAGCAATGGATCCGACAGAAGCTGTAGGCAAGGGGCACTAAAGGAAACAAAGGGATTATCAGGCATTCCCTCATTCCAAGTTTTGGCCAGAAACTCCACTGATCTGCACACCACACAACTGAACATGCTCCTAGAGGGCTCATTTCTATCTTAGTGACCAGACTAAGCACTCAGATCTCATACTTGTATCACAGGTCATGTCCCTCCCAACAGCCTCCAGCCAGCAATGACTGATGCACCAAGCCAACACTGCCAAAAAATCACTACTAAAAAATCAGGGCTAGAGAAGGTCACTACAGAATGAGTTTACCCTGGGTGTCAGTGCAACTCAAGGTCTATATCCTGCTCCTTGTCTCCATAAAAATCCCAGTGAGTGGGAGCACCTCAGAGTTTGGGTCCAGGGAAGGGAAAGCACAGCCAGACTGGTAATTATTTTACCAGATATTCCACACTGGGAATATCTCTGCTTTCTTTCATATACCTCCTCTTCTTCCCCAAAGTAATGGGCTCCTGATACAATCCCACAGGCAAGTACAGGCCAAACTCCCATTGCAGCTCATGGAACAGCACTTCAGTCCAGCCAGCAGTGGTCAACAAACTACTCCAGATTCTTTCCTTTACAGTCAAGAACTATTCCTGCTCCTCACATCACTTACCCACAAGTTATTAACTTACAAAAACAACACTCTAAACCAGGCTTAATGTACAAGTTGATGAAGAGAAGCCTCGTGCACAGGGGCTGGCACGGGAAATATTAAGGTTACTAAGGGGCTGCTTTCCATTACAGACAAGTTGTCTCAGTGTCTTGGCAAGAGATAATAACTGGTTATTTCCAAATCCTGGAGTCTCGTGGTTTTCAGGTCTTGTCAACAGCCAGGAACAAAGGGAAACAGAAAAGCCTACAGACAACAAGCAAATCTCTCCCCCCCACTACTGTCTTCTGATGAGAGTCCTCTCTTAGCACTAAAGGAATTGATTTAAAGACCCTGGAGCCTGACCATGAACAGGGAGACCTAGTCAACACCAGGAGAAATATCTGCATTTCCTTAGAAACCTTATTTCAACCTCTCAGAATAAAAAGCAGCCCATTCTCTTCTATTAAACATCAAGTCCTAGAGCTTCTCAGACCCTGAAGTGGAACTGTTCACACTTTAGGTCCAATCTTGCAACCTGCAGAGTTTCCATTTACAATACTGTAGCTCCCTGAGTTTCCAACAGTGCTGTCTGGGTATGTGCACAAGCTACTTTAGTCTTGAAAAATCAAGGCCTATTCTTGACAGTAAACTTCATCAAGATCTACAAACCTGACAAGCCTTCACTTATCTGTGCATTAGCCTTAGAGCCTCTTCTCTGGACTCCCACAAAAAGACAGCTATTAGTTTAATAGTTGTCACTGCTATCAACACACAAACAAAGGAGAAATGGCTCTGAACATTGCTGGGGCAACACATTGGGAGCAAGGACCAGCACTCAGCATTCTCCCCTCCCTAAAAGGAAGAAGTGATTCAGTACAAATTTTCTGTATCTTGGTCAAGTGCTTCAGCAACTGAGCCGAGGTAAGACAGAGAAAGTGCTAACACTGCTCCCTATGAAAAAAGTATGATCAGCAACTGAGAAAAAGAGCAGGCTCCCTTTGTGCAGTGAAGCAGAGATTTCAGGCTTTGTCATCAGCAAGCATAAGCAGCTTTAAGTTCAGTGTGCTGACTGCTGCAGCCCCTTTGAAAAGGGGTAAAACTCACCCTGTGCTTTACAGATATGCAGCAACTAGTCACCCAGAGACTGTGATATACTGACATACTCAGCACTCCACATCCACTCTGAGACCCTACTATAGACCCAAGCCAAAAGCTGAAGCAGAATTCTGAGGGGACACAGACAGGTCCTGGTACACAATGAGGTACAGCACCAGCACAGAGAGAACCATGAGCTCCTGGAATTAACTCAGCAAGCCCACAAACACAAAGCTCTTCTCCAAGGACTTCTGAAAGAGCCACCATATGGATCCCCCTCGCCAAATCTTAACCATCCAGCAGTGGCTTTCCTTCCTCATTTAACTTTTCATTTACTTACAAGATCACACACAACATGCAGTTAGGTCATGCACTCATAAGCCTGTCTCCTTTCACCAGATTAGAACCCAGCTCTATTTTCAGCTGTTGAGCAACAACTAGCTCCTGTACAACTGCTTACCAAAAACACAGATTCTCTGTGATGATTTGAGGCAGGCCGCTTAGATGCTTCATCTGCAAAATCTTTGTTTTCATCCACCACATGGAGCACAGACTCTGCTCCCAGCCGGGCACGTGACTCCTTGCAGTTCTTGCTGCTGTTCTGGGAGGGTGGCTCACCCATCTCAGGGCTCACAGCTCCTGTTTCAGCAGCCCCACACCTCTGGGAGTCCCTGTTATGATGCTGAGCAGTCCTGTCAGGCTGGAGATGTGTCCTTGCTGTGTGCTCATCATGCTCGTGCTGTGTTTCCTGAGCTGTCCTGGAAGGCAGGTTTGAGCACTGAGTTTGTCTCTTAGCAGCTCAACTCCAGCAAAAACTCACACAGAGGCAACAATTAACATAGATGTTACTAACAACCCTGGCAATCCAAACTTGTTTCCATAGCACTTCCAAACACACATCCAGTCCCTGTGGAATTCTCTCTCTCTTCTGCTACCGTAGATACCAAAAACCACAGCCTGCACATCCTAGCACAGTAACAGAAGGGAGCGCAGCCGCCTGGGCCACATCTAATCTTGTCACCAAAAACAGCACAGACTGCTGCTCCAGAGAAAGGCAAAAGCAGACAAAAGACAAACACTGCTGGCTTTGCAGAACACAAACCAGCTGGAACTCAAAGCTACTGCACTGCTTAAGGCATAAAGGCAGATTCCCAAACAGTCCTTGTGCGCTCCCGGATGCACGGTGCACTGCAGAGAGACACAGCGTGCCATTAAACCCCACACATCCCCACACCTTCTGCTCTCCTTCACCCTGAGGAAGCAGCATCCCTGGGGTCACTCACCTGTACTGTACATCCCTGGGCTCTTTGCCTTGCCCCTGCTGAGCTGTGCCCTCGGGTTCATCTGGGCACACCTGTGCAGTGACCTCCAGTTTCGCCCTGGTCTCTGCGAGGTCCTTCCGCAACTGCTGGTTCTCAGATATTAATTTCTGGAGCTCAACAGCATAGTCCTCCCTGAGTGCTCTCAGGGTGCCATCGTGCCCCTAGCAGACAAAGAAGGGCAGAAGTCAAAAGCTCTGGTTTGCAAGACACCACAGCCACATCCAGAGCAAAGGCCAGCAAGAGATTCCTTAGGGCATATCCCCTAATCTCATTTTGACTAGCAAAACCTTCAAGATTTTCCTAGGAGAAAATTAATTACATATATGCCTTATTGGGCTTGCATCCAGACTCAGTGTGCTGATCTGCTGATCTGCCTGGGAAGGTCAGCCTCTGTCACCAGTGGATTCCTTTTAAAACAGGAAAACATGGACCTAGATGTACCTGCCTCTGGCCTTTCTGAAACTCTGAACAACTTGCTTCTTCCCATCATCTTCTTTATACCAGGCCAGGTGGATAAAATTTCCACTGCTTCTACTCCTGTGACAGTCCCACTTGCTTTTTGCCAATTCTATTAAACTTAGATGCTTAATTAATTCTCATCACCTCTGTATCTAAAGTCTTTCTGAATGTGCATTAAGACTGCCAGGCCAAGATCCAGCTCCTGTGCCTTAGTGCTGTGAGGCTTTTTTTTAAGGCAGATTTCCTGCTTCACACACTGCTACCACATTTTTGGGAGCTCACACAGGCAAAAGCCACCAGGCACTTTTCAAGCAGAAAGTAATGGGCCTTAGGTCATTTCAGTTTCAAAACAGCCCTCCAGAAAGCTCTGTTTTTAATCCATCACACCAGACACAAGCTTCTGTTCAGCACTTTGCCAGGAACTTGGCACATTTGACAATCACCCCAAACTAATACTAAGAGCTGACTATTTCCTTCCCACATATCTAACAGCATAAAAGCTCTGACATACTCTCATGAGATTGTCAGCTGTCTGAATCCAGCCCTTATCCCCTGGGAAGCAGCCATTCTGCTTAAGTTGAGACAGAACTTGCAAACCAGTCACTTCTTCCTTCACAAAATGAGCCAACTCATTATTTCTGCCAAGGTTGTACCTCTTCCATGCAGGCTCCTCATCTCCCCTCTGCCTCAAGAGCTGTGGAGGTTCTGTTCAGCTGCAGGAGCCCACCACAGGGCCTTTTCCAAGAACACTGCCCCAACACATCCAGCCCATACTCCCAGTCTGCACCCTGCTCATGGAGAGCAAAGGAGAGCCCTGCTGAATGGCTCCTCACCAGGGGAGAACACTCTCACACCAAGTATTTCAATGGGCCAGAGCAGTTACAGCTCTAGGACAGGTCAAAAGGATGTCACAGGCTGAGAAGCAAAGGTTTGAGGTAAACTGCCTTAAAATGGAAGTGTAATGAAATGTGATAAAAAATGTGGTCCAAAGCCCATGGAGAAGACATGGAAATGATGGCTGCTTCTGCAGTTCTCTTCACCATTCTCTGACTGAACAAATGCTTGATATTTGTGCACCTCGTTTCCTCTCAAATTGCCTCTTTTGCTTGGGTTTTAAGTTCACTGAGCTCTATCCCACACTTTGAGAGGCCTGGGCAAAGACTCTGACCCAGGCAGGAACACAGGGCTAGCCCCTTTCCCAGCTCCTGATCCTCAGTGCCTACCTTCAGCTTACCACACTCTGTTTTTTCCAGAATTTCTGAGAGATGACGGTTTTCCAGCCTCAAGGTTTCCAGCTGGACCAGAATTACCTGAGGAAACAGAGGCCAACAACAAGCTCAGAAAAAGAACACAATGCATGCCCACAACACCCTCCAAGCATTTCTCACCCTCAAACTCAAGTACTAAGGAAGATTTGAGCTCAGTGTTGTACTGGGACCCTACAGAGAAGGCTACAAAAATAACCATGCACAGTTTTCAAAGATGTTATCCATCCTGGCCTAGTTAGCATGAGTGATCCCAAAGAATTCTGTGGGACTGTAGGGTACTAGTTTGAAAAGAAGCAGCAAGACAGATTCAGTGAACACCACCATTAGAAGATTCCTTCAGGTCTCAATTTTTGTACAGAGGCTAAAGACAGAAGGAAACTACTAATGTAGCTAAAAACCAGGATGGTGTTCCAAGCCTTCAGATGCCTTAAACAGATAGCATAAGAGTCTTGTGTGTTTTTTACCCTGTGCTCCACTGCTTTCCTCTCTGCTCTTTCAATCTCAGCTCTCAGCTGCTGCTGCAGGTCTGAGGTGGAGCTGCTCGCTGATGCAATGGTGATGTCCCGCTGGTGCAGCTCCTGTGTCAGCCTGGAGATCTCCCTTTTCATCCCTTCTAGCTCACTGCTGTGCATTTGTTCAGTCTGAGAGAGCTGGTCCTTCAGCTGGAGCAAGACACACACACACACACCACCCACAAGCTTTTAAAACACGTTTCAGCAAAAAAACCAAAAGTACTGCACATGGTAATATGAAATTTCAGTTCTGGAAAACAAAAAAGCTCTAAATAACAAACCCTCTGCACATGCTTGTCCTTCCTGATTGTAAGCCACCTCATTCCAATCCTTTCCCATACCACACACTGCCAACTGGAAAGAAGTTTCATGCCATGTGAAGTACTTGAGAAGACCCACAATTTATCAAAGCAACAGCCTCTTCAGCTCATCATTCAACCTCTGTAGCCAAAACCAGAGAGCCAAAGGTTCACCATGACTGGGGAAGCAGAGTAACTCTTGGAAAATATAACCCTGCAATTTGCCACTCTGCCTTCCTGAATTATTTGAAGATACCATTTAAAGATGGTAACTTTAAATAGCTCAAGCTGGATTTTCCTTCCAGGAATTAATTTGCCCTAGGTCTTTTGAATTGATATTAGAGTTGAATCAATGTTAGCTTGTAGCAACTAAAGCTTCCCATGGCAAGCTTCCACCAGCCAGCTATGCACAGGGTAAAAATACATCTCTTTGTTTTCGTAACTCTGTGTGATGACCACTAGTCCTTGCATTATGAGAGAATAATCATTCCCTATTTATTTTCCACATGACAGGCATGATTTTATTTTTAGTCCATTCAATCTCATTTTTCTCTTTTCCAGTTTGGTAAGTCCTATTCCATTCAGCTGTTGCTTGTATAAAAACCACTCCATCCTTTTGGTCATCTTTTTCCATACCTTATCTTGGTTTATTCAATGCTTTGTGAGGTTGCAGACCCGCACCACATACAATATTTCGGTAGGCACACTGTATATTTACTCAGTGGCACAAGAGAACAGCAGCATAATTCCTTCCCCAGGACTCCATTTCATTAGTCAGAAATATTAACCACCCAAACAGCCAGGATTTTTCTGAGAATTACAAGCATTTTAGAAAATTGAACCAGATGATCTCTGCCTACCCATGTAAATACTGTACATACAGTGATTTATCTCCATGTCACCTCAATGCCTCCCAAGTATATAAAACAGAAACAGCCTTCATAAATCTCTCCCTCCTCCCCAGCAGCCTGTGGGAGATTCATTTACTGTGTGGCTGTTTAGATGTGTAACCAAGCACACATCTCTGGCAAGATCTGCACCTCTGTATGTTCAGAATAAAGGATGAAAGATTTCCACACAAGTGAGGTTTTTCACTCAGGTTCAATGAGGCTTCCCCAGCTCCAGTGTAAGCTCTCATACAAGCTGATGCAGACCATTATAAAGAGCCAAGCTAGTGGAGGGCTTGCCCCCCTTGGGTGCTCAGAGCTCTGGGGTGAGACCCTTATGGCAGGTTAGCTGCTCCATCTCTCCCAGCCCCTGCCCTCATGTCCAGCTACCAAGCCTGAAACAGACTCCCTTATTCACACAGGGACCAGGACACATTGGAAGTCCTGCCTCAAGTGTAACAGCAAATTCACTTCTTCTCTGCTCTTCATCCTGCTGGGAGCCTGTACTCGGCTTAAACTCAGGATTGCAGACCTTAATTTCTTCGCGTATTTGCCCCTCCAGCAGTAATTCAAGTATCTCCAGTGTACAGAAGTACTGGAGAAGGCCCATGAGATGCTCACAAAGCCAGTTCAGACACCTGCAAACATGTGTCCTCTCAACCCTTCCTCTGCCAGGTGTGTTCCTTACCTCCAGCAGATCCCTGCCTGCACAGCAGCCCTGCCCTGCCCGCTGCTGAAGCACGTGGCACACAGGGATCACTTCACCAGTGCCATCCCACTCCCTGGGAACAAAGCTACGTTACCTTTTTAATCTCTGCCCTTGACTCAGTCTGGTCTTCTTCCAGGGACTGCAGCTCTTTGATATTCTCACCCAGCTCCTCGCTCAGCTGCACACACCTGGCATTTGAAGACACCAGGCTGGGTGCCAAATGCAAAAGTATAGATTAGAATAACCCAAGAAAGAGGAAATGGTCAGAGAAACTTTGATCTTCCAGGCAGTCTTTTATGTCCATTACAACAGAAACTGAACTCAGCCTACAAGTTCCTTACCAATCCTTTGGGTTTGTTTTCCAAAATCATTTCACATGAGATCAGGAAGTTCATCTAACAGATAACAGCTGGTTTTTGCTTGCTTCTTTACAAACTAAGATTACAAAATTTCTACGTAAACACGAGTCTGAAAACCACAAACTTGGAGAGGAATCACAGGATCACAAAATGCTTTGGGTTGGGAGGGATCCTAAAGCTCAAGTCGTTCTACCCCCTGCCATGGGCAAGGAGACCTTCAGCTAGACCAGGCTGCCTCAACCTCCATCCAGCCTGGTCTTGAACACCTCTCAAGATGGGGAGTCCACCGTCTCTCTGGACAGATTTGTTTATAGTCCTCACTTCACAGCAAGGTCTGAATCTGGTTCTTACCAGCTGCCTAACAAAGACTCCTTAGCCTATTATGAGTGAAGGTGCTCAGCCTAAGCAAGCTGGAACACTGAGAACACCCACCAGGTGCAGTGAAAGGCAGCCAACAAATTACCAAAGCAGCCACTATTACACTGCAAAATGAATAGCACTTGATTTCTTTAGCCCTTTGATATTTAAAACAAGCTGACAAAAATCACTGGTAAACTTGATGAACCCAATTAGGTGTTGTATTATTATCCAAGACTAATTGCACTTCCAGAGGGAGCAAGCCATGGGCTACCTGTTCTCAAGACGAGTCACCTCTGTCTGCAAGTGTTGTTCCTTCTTCTGGGCAACATTCAGCTGCAGCAGCACCTGCTCCAGCTCCAGCCCTGCACAGGACAGTGGCTTCCCCTGCAAGCGCTCCTCCAAGGCCCTATGCAGAAACAGCAGCTTAATCCCAGCACAGAAGCATCATGTCTGAGTTCACTGCTACAGGGAACATAACTACTTTTTCTTGGAATTCTCTGAAAAATGCACAGCACCTAAAAGCAGGTGACCACTGTGTGCAGTGTGAATAAGCAAACACAGCAGCTGGATGACAGCCCCTGCTTGAGTTAAGGCTGATTGAAAAAGACTACATTTTATTTTGATGTTGGCCTCCCTGACAGAGGCTGGTAGGTGACCAACAGCCAAACCTTCTAACACAGCCACCAAAATCCAACAGCCTCTGCACATTGCCAGGGCAGAAGGGGAAGCCAAGATGATTTTGTCACAGATGTAATCACCTCACCCAGCCCCAACCAATGTGAACTTTCACCTAGGTTAATAAGCACATTATCAAACCCTGAAAGGCCTCCAGCACTCAGCTGAAAATGCCTGGGAGAAACACACTCAAAAGCCCTGCACTGCCTCCAGAAACCCAGCTGAGGAAAGTGGATTCCTTCCATGTTTTTTACTGATTATCTGCTAATTTCAAAAGCAATGCAAACTGAAAAACATTGCAAGGCAGCACCGCGCTTGTGAGAAACTGCAGTGCACAATGTTAAATACAACCAACACAGATCCAGCTGCATGAAAATGCTGCTACTGTCCTCAGAGAGAGAACCTGGAACATAGATCTGGATTGAAGAGCCAAAGTACCAGCAAGGCACAGATGCTACCTGATGAGTAATTCTTTTGTGTGAAGAGTTTCAGTCATCTTAGCCAGCTCCTTCTGTAACTGTTCCTGGTACAGCTTGGAGCTGTCAATGAAATCTTCTTGGGACTGCAAGGTGGCTCTCAGCTCCATCTTCTCATCCTGCAGCACCTGCACGGGAGGCAGAAGGAATGACTGCTGCAAGATGGACCAAACCAGTTTGTTGCAATGTGATGAGAAGTAGATCAGATTTTTTAGGACCCTTGGAAATACTGCAGAGCAGCATATGGCTGCAAAAAATTCTATGCCAACCAGGAACTTTACAAAGGCTCTGGAAAGAGACAAAAAGTCCAGGATGAAAAGCCTTCCCACCAGCAGTTCTTTAGACCCTGTTTCTTAAAGAGTTCCTCCACTCTAACATTCCCACCTCTAACATTTTCTTTGACTGCCTTAATTCTTCTTGAACTCTCTGCTGATCCTCCAGAATCAGGCGATTGTCCTCACTCAGGTCATCCACCCTCATGCTGAGCCTCTCCACCTCCATCTCATTGGCACAGATGGTGTCGTTGGCCCTCTCCAGCCTGCTGGTTAAGTGCTGGATTTCTGAGCGGCTCGCCAGCTCCACCGAGTCCAGGATCTGCTTCCGATTGGCCAGCTGGCTCTGCCAACAGCAATCATCTGCATTAAAGCTGAATTGCAAAAGCACAAAAGTTGTACCAAAGCTAAATTCAACACAACTACTCATTTCTTGGTGTAATGAGCCACACTCTAAAAGTAAGCAATACCTTCCAGGGAATTAGGGAGAGTATTGTTCCAGGTTACATGATGGATAAAACTTCCAAAGGCAAACAGAATAAGTAAAAAACAAAATGAAAGAAGAGGGCCTTTGATTCCAAAGGCAGTTCAAAGAGAATCTGGAAAATGAGAATCTCAAATCACTCCAGCTGCCTGAGTATGATTTGTCTAACAACAAAGCCACCTGCTATTTTTTGCTCATGAGCCCAAGGCTAGACCAGGACTAATGGCTGCAGGTAAGAAAGTTTGTAAACCAAACAAGGCAGAGATTACACAACCATGAATTCCACACCAGGAGAGAAAGCAACTCAGGGTGCACAATTGCAAAACCACAGCCACCAAACAGCCCCACAACAAATCAGGTGTAACAGCCAATTTGCTTTGCTCTCTGCAGTAAATAGCTGGTTCCAGCAGCTTGGGGGAATGTTCACTTTGAATTTTTCAGTGTTTTAATGGCAGACAAAAAAGTTACAAGGAATGTACAGGTAGCAGACAATACCTGCTCTATAATTTATAGGCACAATACTTTATTTCACAGCATTTCTTTCCACACAGCTAGCTGGTGAAATTTAACAAGCCAGCTCTCTCATAAATTTCTAGGAACATTCACTTCATATATTCCCTTTTTGTACACAATCATTGAATTTTTAAAGGCTGAAACAAAATATCTGAGCACTCCTATACTCCCAGATTCAAAGAGCAGCAATGCCTGTCAGATTCACCACATGACTGCTCATTTGCAAGGCTATGGTATAGTTTTGATTACAGCCTTTTATTATTATTTAAATAGTCCTGACAGAAAAGGTAATCCAGAGGGCTGAGAGTTTAAAGCACAGCCTTTCTTCACCAAAGAAGCCAGAGTATCAGACTGCCTGAATATTTATTTCTGCATTAAGAAAACATTTAAGCTGTCTCTTATTTCCAGCCACACAACATCCAGGCCAGCAGAGAATTCCAGGTTTTTAGGAAAGGCTGACTTTAAAGGCTGCAGGTGTTCCAGAAGGTAGCCTGTACTGGGGAAGAATTCCAGGCTTCCCTAAGCTGCTCTGGATGAGATGAGGGGAAGCCAGATGAAAGGAGAGAGAGGGGAAGTACTCCATGGCCATGGATCTCAGCTTGACCTCACGCTAGAAAGACAACTAAGTGCATAAAATATATAGAAACATCCAAGACAATAAATTTAGCACTTCCATGCTGCGTTTCTCAAAGCAATTGAGGGTTCAGGAAGTCTGTTCACAGTACCTGTGCACCTAAGGCACCTATGTTGCTTTGGGAAAACCTCCCCAACCTCCTGGTTTTCTGCTGCACAGTAAGACAAGTTCTTCTGTGCCCCAGTGTCCCAGCCTGAGCTCCAAGGACACATCTGTTCCCAAACAATTGAGCTATCAACGACACACAGACAGCAGAGCAGCAAGACCTTCTGCTCAAGGACTCTCTGCATTTGTAGATCTCCTGGTGTCAGCCTCTCACAAAGCCCCTGTCAGAGCCAGCTTCAATCCTGTCATCACAGTCTCCCTCCTCGCAGGAGCTTCCACTCAAGAGCAACTCAGGAGCCCATTAAGTGCAAAGTCCCCAGCAAGAGCTTCTTATCAGTGTCTGCTGTGATTGTGTCTGTGTGACTTCACAGCTGTGCTCTAGGTCAATTCATCTCACTCTGATGCAGCACCACTAATTCACTGAGCCATCAGCTTTGCAGAACAGCAGCCCTACTATTTCTTGCCTTTGAGAGAACAAAAAAAAAAGGGGGTGGGGGGCTGAAAACTGCTGTTGCTTTAGTATTTTATGGAAGTCTCTGTTGTAGAGGAAGACAGTTTTCCAACAGTACCCTCTGAGCTGGACCCACAGAGTACGTATTTAGCTGCTGGCAGGTACACAGCTTTCAACTAGACAACATGATGTAACATATTTTAAAGTCTCATATGCTGTGGTCTCTGACTCCCAGGTAAATCTACATCCTACTGCCTTCTCTGCTAATCAGAGCAATGGCAGGGGGAGCTGCACAAGGATTATCTAATCTCTGATGACAGACTCCACATCTTTTTTCCATACAGCTCTCGTACAAGCAAACCTTATTCCACTGGAACGTTAGAAGTCACTTCAATGGCAATCTGAACTGGATGGGAACCTGAGAGATTTCATTAGCCTCTCCCTCCCTGCCACAAAGAAAGCAGAAACTTTCAGCAGAGGTTAATTGTACCTGCACGAGCTCGGAGTGCTCTGCCAGAGCCTTGCGCTGTGCCTCCAGCGATGCCACCTGCTGCTGGTACTGCAGGCGCTGCTTCTCCCAGTCAAGTGATTTTTGACGGAACTCCTGCAAGGACAGCAAGGGTGGCTTGGAGCAGTACATCCCCCTCCAGTTCATATCCATGTTTGCCTTATCTGCCACACCTTTCCCCCAGCAGGGAAACCATTAGCCAGTCACCTGATGCAGCAGCTCAGCAGTGCAGAGCCCTCACACACCGTGCTCACTGCATTCCTTCCCCTCCCAAGGTAAAGCTGCTCACAAATGTTAAGTGCCAGCACATTCATGGTTTCATGGGTTTGCTGTCAGGGGTTTAACAATTCAGACTAGCTTTAGAGTCCAAAACACGTTGCTGTCAAAATGACTAGGATTACAAGAATTAAATACCGAATTCGACTGCTAATTGCTGCTCCAGAAATGGGGCACTACATCATCAGATGTGTGTTGTTACCACATCTCTCAGGAGGAGAAAACTGAGTGGGGTTGAGTTCAACAGAGCAGAAAGATTAGGAGACAGGGTTGAGAAGTTTCACTTCACTGTGTAGCTCCCTCCTCCTCAAAGGAGTGAGAATACAACCTCCCCACACTGGAATTCATTCCATTCACATACTTAGTTACTCTTCCAGCACCTTTTTCCTCTCGTTTAGTCTGGGGTAAGAACAGCATTAAGGTTTACGCTGTGCAGTCAGGGGCCCCAGCACATGAAACTGCCTTTATCACACATGCAGTTGAGAAAAGCCATACCTGGAGAGTGGATGGGCAGTGCCCCTTAAGCAGGATTCACAGTCCATTCCTAGTGGACTGGTCAGTCACCAGTGAAGCTCAGTAAGGCAGTTAATACATACAAGCTAGTCAGCATTTGCTTTTTCACCACATACCTCCAGCTTCCTGGTCAGTCGGCTCAATTCAAACTTGTCCTCCTCTTGTCCCTTGTTAGCTTCTCCTCTGCTTTTTTTCTTCTGCAACTTCTCATAGCTCCTCCTCAGCCGGGACAACTGCAGGATACAGAGAAAGAGCTTTGCTAAGGCCCCAAGGCAAGAATTACATAGCCCTTTGAAAGAAGACACACCAAGTGGTTCAAACAAACAATGTCCTCATCAAGGCCACACAGTTCCCAAGTGAAAGCTTCCATTTGGATAATGAGTCTTTTGTATCAACACCACTGCAAAACACATGAGTTGTATGAGTAGAAAGATGCCACTGAAGTCATGACATCAGCAGCTTTAATTAAAGCTCTGTCTTACCATAATTAAAGCATGACTGAAATATTGATAAGATGGAGATTTACATGCAGCTGTCAATGCAGCAAGAGCACAGTATCCCACACTCTACAGGTGCTTCCCAGCCCCAGGAAGAGCTGGCAGTGCCTGTGGCTGTTCTGCTCACCCACAGGAACACACCCGCCACAGCACACACAGGTAATTCTTGTGTGATCAAAATACACTTGAGCAGCTCAGGTGGGAACTGGAACTCTCCTGCTTAGTGGGAGAAGAAAGGTTTGAGAATTGCCATTACCCATAATATCAACACCACTTCATCTGTCATTTTCTGCTTAGATACACTGTGTATTTCACAATGAGTCGAGAATGCCAACAGAAAATATCACTCCTACGCCTGCTGCTAGGATGCTGAAGTTGTATCAGAAGCAGGAATGAGGAAAAAACTCTTGACATTTAAATGACCCCCTGTGCAAATAATCACTTTCAACTTGCAGAGAATTTTTCATATGATGAGCTCCCCCTACTCAACTATTAAATGAGAAGCTTCCAAATAGCCACGTGAATTTGAGAAGCCATCATTGCCGTTTTACTGATGGACAAAGCTAAGCCCATGGATGAACAGAAGGACCATGAGAAGAAAAAATATCTGATTCAAGCCCTGATACATTCAGTACTTAGGTGTGTTCAGTGGGGACAGATGTTCAGGCCTAGAGTTAATACCAACTATGTTTTTGCCAAACATATCAGGAGATAAGAGGTTTATTCTTTCAACAGTCTCAGTAAGTTAGACACTGTACCTGTAATTGCACTGGAAATGGTGGTAAACAGGGACAGAAATAATTTCCCCAAACAGTACTAAGAACAGAAGACTGAGGAATATTGGAGCTCGATGCCATCAGCATTAATACTGTGTAGGTAAAATACCCACAAACTGCAATTTAGGCCACAACACACAGGCTGTATTTCAGCTTTAGCAATTTAGGCTGATCTGCCAATGTACCTTAGCTTTTCTTTGCAGCTTATCCACAGTGAGAACACCCAGCAAATGAAGACACTTAGTCATATGGAATAGTGAGGTGCTTTTAAATGAGAAAAGATGCCTTCTGTCATCAGAGCAAAGACTACCAAATTAATTTCACTTATGGTTTACAGTGAGCAGAAACTAGGCCCAGCCCTCCAGAGAAAACAGGTCAGTGCTCTATGAGCTGCTCATGCCAGTTCATTCCCTGCTACCAGCAAGTGGAGACAGGAAAGAGTTCAGACATAAACCTGGAATGCTGTTATACCACCTGCAGGACAGGTATCATCTTGCACTGAGCAAGAGACTTTGAGATGAAAGTTCTGATATTAATGTCAAACAGCATTTCCTATGTACACTTGGTTTTTATTAAGGGTATTAAGACTAATATTCCTTGAGAGTACAAAACCCCTTCTAAATTCATCAGTGTTAACAGAGGCAAAAAGATGAGAAATGCCAGTGCTATTTCCTGATATCAAACAAGCCAGGCCAATTACATCTCCACCCCTTTTGAATTTCAGAAATGCTGAAAGAGCAAACTGCTGCTGCCTGTACTTGTGGCAGCTCCAGAACCAGCACTGGGGTGACTGGGATAGGCAAACACAGGACATTCTTGCAGTAAACTTCTGCAGATGTCCAACATACAAAAACATTTCTACTCCAACAGTTCTCTGTCTGTCACCAAGTTCCTCTAAATCACAAAAAAAAGACGCTACCTTATCTATGCTCAATGCTGTTTTCTGTAAGCACACAAACACTAACGGAGTAGGGAGTTTTAAACCCACAGCATTGAAACAAAATCTAGAACACAAAGTAGTTGGTCCATCATTATCTGAGAACTAGAAACCAAACTTTTCTCTTTGCAACTCACCTCCTCCTGGAATTTCTTCAGCTGTTGTTCATACTCTCTAACCATGTCCTGCTTGGATTTTTCCACATCTTCGACCTGGCAACGCAACATGCCAATCTGAACAAAGGGATAAAATGCAAATAAATACAACAGAAGAAGGCTCTGATGCCAGTAGATACATGGACATTTCACTGGGGTCCCTCAATATGAAATAGATGGAGGCTGTGCCTAAATCTTTGGTAGGCTTGGGCCACACCTGTTTCTGTTGTGGCCTCTTGTTTTGAGCCAGTTTCTGGATTTCACTTCTGGGGACAAAGCTGACAATATTTGGTTTGTGCCAAAAGCCCATTTCTATCCAGTATTTTCATCAAACTCTTCACAAATATGCATTATGATTTCAAGCTATCTACCAAGAGAGAAGTTGCCCATATCATTAGCTTACTAGGCTCAGAGAAAAGAGAGATTCCTAACAGCAAGGAAAAAGAAATAAATGGGGTTTTGAAGCTCACAGAAAAGACTTCCCTGATACTGTTTCAACTGCTCCTGTGACTCATTTTTCTCCCTTTTTTTTTCCTCCCATCTTTTCCCATCCACAACCTGAGTGGTCACAAGCCAACAAATTAAAATTAAAAGAAAACCCACAGAAAATTCATATGACTAAACCAAAAGCATGAACATACTCCAGCAGAGACTTCAAACATACTTTACAGTTCAGTTTGAAATCCGTGTTTACTTTGGTGGTAAGAAACATTTCAGGTGTCTTGAGAAAACATAATTGATAATAACAACAATAACCTAGATGATAAAAGCCATCATTCTTGCTAACGAAAATACTGTGGCTCAACTGCATCTTATGGTCCACATCCTGCACAAAAACTTCACTTATTAGTAATTTTTCACCAACACAATTTTTTTGCACTTCCCTCAGGCTTTTATTTAAAGACCACAAAAGCAGAGCTCTTCTCTGAAAAACAGCCCATGGAGAGTTTCCCAGCAATGTCTTGGTGTAGTTCATAGTAAGAAATGGTTTTCTTGGTGCAGTTTATATTATAGGAAATGGGTTTTTTCTAGCAATGACTGCAGGTTGCTGGGCTGTCCATTACTGCTGTAGCCAGAACCAGTGTCTCTGGGTTCTCTCTAATAACTCTAACAGTTCAATATGAGGATTTCCACCAACCCTAGGGGAGCTGATCACTTGAATTGGATTGAATTATGAACCAGACACTTTGTTCCAACAGGTCCTTAAAAAATTCTATTCCTGATTTCCTGTTTCTAACAGGTAAAATGCACTGCTGACTCCAAACAAAAAATAGTATGAAACAAAGGTACCTCCTTTTGTTTTTCCTGCAAAGCTGCCTTGGTAGAAGAAAGCTCCTGCTCCCGAGCACGCAGACAAGCTTCCAAAGCCTGTGTCTGCCCTTCCCATTCGGATTTCTTGTGAGCCACCATGATGTCAATCTGCTTCATCAGCTCCTGCAGCTCAGCCTCACAGGAGGTCAAGAACCCACCACTGGAGGGGAGAGAGTCTGGAGTCACAAAGCAGGTCCCACCCAACACATCCCGTGTCCCAAACCACCAGAGGCATCAGAACACACTGACTGGCACCAGGACACCAACTCTGCACATGCAGTGCTTTGAACTCGCTTCAAATCAGCTTGTACAGACACAGAATCACAGAATCATTATGGTCAGAAAAGACCTCCAAGATCATCAAGTCCAATCTTTTACCCAACACCATCCATGCCCACTAAACCACATCACTTCACACTTAGGCATTCAGCCTATTGCCTTGGGTACTATGCATTATGTAAGGAAACCAAAGCGTGTTTAATTCATATTTTGCATTGCCTTAATTGCTCTCCAGGCAGTGGCATTTTATAGCAGGTTTCAGTCACCAGAGGAATCTTACAGCCAAGCTATGAGCTCCCAAAAACAGAAGTTTATCACAAATGCAGACAAACCCTGAAGCAGAGGGGGCTGGATGACAACATGATAATGAAGAATCAAACCCTCGCAATCCATCGGGGAGCACAAGCTCCCTAGCGATGCCCAGATTTCTAATTTGGTGCAGTAATTATTGAAGTCAATTCAAGTAACTCTTCTAAAACTTCCCAGCTGCCAAGACAGGGACAATATTAAGGTTTGCCAGACACAGCCCTAGAGGGTGGTGAACTCCATAATGATCTCTACCCCTTTAATTTGCCTGTCAAAGGGAAGAACTGAAAAGAAATGGAAATCAATAGGTTAAGGGATGGAAATTTCTCTGTTCCCCCAGGGCATATGCACACTTCAGGACTTGGCACGTTTTCTATAGGAAAAGAAATACTTCTTAAAGGAGCCAAAATCAGTCACATTTGAAGTTCACCCTGTCCTGTGAGTTAACCAAAAATTAGCAGCTATTATGCAGAGCAGGAACATTTCCTTCACAGCATCTGCTAATATGTAGCAAATTCTAAACTTGATTTCTGCAACCAGCTCTCTGAAGAAGATACAGTATCAAATAAATTTGTGTCACATTCTCAGGGATGACTAGGAAAATGGCATCAGTGACTTTTGCTTCACGGTTGTTTAACACATAAAACATTTTGTTCCGTTATTGTCACTACAGTCTCTCTCAGGGTTTAAAAAGTCTAGAGACTCTCACCTCAGTCAGAGCATTAAGGATTCCTCAGAGCAGAGTGGGACTCTGCAGTTTCAACACAAGCAGGAAATAATCAGATGTTTTCAGTGAAATCAGATAACAAAGTCACATCTCATTAACCTTGCAAGGCTGTTACAAAATAAATATTTATTCACAGCTCTATTTACTACTGCTCCTGATGTTGGACAGTAAGAAGAGTTTACAACAATTGAAAAAAAAGGAGGCCAAGGTTTTCAGGAAGACATAGAACTAAATTTCTGACAATTAGGACTATAATACCTGAGCAGGGATTAGTGCAGACCCAGCTGCCCCAGTGACTTTGCTCCTGTAGCAGCTGAAGGCCACTGCACACTGGTACCAGAGGATTTATTTTCAATAAGAAGCAAGGTTAATACTTAAATAATTTGGAATGACTACTGTGTACAGTTGCATACATACCTCCCCTGCCCATTTCTTTGCATTCCTTCCAGCAAGGCCTCCATCACTGAATCCTGGTGGCTTCAGTACTAGGGAAGTACAGGAAAGCACTGGTCACCCATGCCAATGCACAAACCAGGCTGCTTCTCCATACAACTGCAGGACAAGCAAAAGCCCACAAAGCAAAGAAGTTAAAAAACATACAAGGAGCGTGCAATTACAAGTAAGGAAAATAATGGCACCTTCATGAACTTACAAGCCAAATAGAGGAAAGCAGATTTTTCCCAGAAAAATGTACCCAATGCTATCATCCAGCACTACCAAATTGCAGTGGTATAATCATGTGATCTAATAAATTCAGAGAGGAGCAACAAGAATCTGCAATTGTGTCAACTCAACACAAAGGGACTGGTAGATCTGAGAGCACCAGCCTGTGGAGGAACAGGAACATTTGGACTTGAAAGGGGCCAGCCCAAGATCCACCCCCAACAGGGAAGTTTGTCCCTTCAGAGAGAAAACACAAGCAAGTAGCAGTAAGAACTCATCCATAAATTAAGTATTTTCCAAGCCTCTATTACAGACTATGTTAAAGGGACCATGCAGTTTACCACCACACTCAGAACACACTGGATATTTATATGGTTGTGGGAATTTCAAGAAAACACAAACTCCTTAAAAATTCCTCTTAAATTATGCCTTAAATTATGAAAATAAGTTGAATAGCTTATTTTACATTTGTACTGCAGGAGCAGTACATTGCTTCAGGTAAAAATTACACCTTTTAAGTCACAAACATGCGCATACCCAAAGAAATTTCACATCTTGGTGAAAGCAAGAAGGGTTTACACTAAAGCTAAAAATGGGGAATAAAAAGTTGCCATGAAACCACAGCCAGGAAGCCAAAATTTATTTCAATGTCTCCTTCATGAAACTGCATCTAACACAAAAATGGTTAAATTCATCCAGAGCTATTAACACAAACTTATGCTTCCAAAATCTACACACTTTCCAAGTACTGAAGATGGATCCTTCCAACATATTTCCTCAAAGATTAATATGGCATTATTAAGCAAACCGCAAAAGGGGAGCCAGTCACAGCAAGGGAGACTTTCACAAATGCAGGCTCAGTTTTGCTCTCTTTCCCAAAGAATCTTCTATTGTGCCCCTACAGCACTTTAAAACACAACTCAGGGATTAAAACATGTCCTTGAGAGCTGTGTTTTAAACCGCAAGCAAAGAAAAAATCCTATCCCTATTCTGACAGTGTTTTGTCTGTCTTTGGTCCTGTTTGTGCTTAACAAAACTCAATCAGTATGCAGAACAACTTTGTGGTTCTGCTGAGGGCAGGGTGCTGAGGAGAGCAGATGAGCAGATCCCCTGAGCTGCTGACAGCATTCCAAGAGTTCTCCAGGTGGCAACAGCAGACATTAGACAGTAGCAGCTCTCCTCTTTCATTCTAATCACACCTACACAGAATCAATTTTCAGTGGGCAGAGAGATGAGGAGACAGACAGTACAGAATTCCAGAACAGTTTGGGTTGGAAGGGATCTTAAAGCCATCTCATGCCAACCCCCTGCCAGGGGCAGGGGCACCTTTCACTATCCAAGGTTGCTCCAAACCCTATCCAACCTAGTCTTGGACACATCCATGGAAGGGACAGCCATGGCTTCTCTGTGCCTCTGCCTTACCAACCTCACAGCCTGCCAGCTTTGCTTACTTTGCCAGCATATCCAGATTTTGGGGAAAAGCCTTAAAATCAGACACATCTAGCCAGTTTTATACTACATAAGCTTTGCTGACTTACTATTAAATTTTGGCCTCTTATGCTTGCAAGTTGCAAATGTGCAAGTTACAGGCACCTGAGTAAAGACCCACAAGAGGAAACAATCTCCTTCATTAACTACAGCTGAAGCATGGAGGACTACCTGGACACTTCTGAAAGTGAAGAAAATTGAAGTATTTGCCAAAAAAAAAAAAAAAAAAAAAAAAAAAAAAAAAAAAGCCCAAAACAGGACAACACATTTAGCATCCCAGCTTAAGGCAAAATTGTAGTAGTCAAGTAAAGAGAACTTTACAATACCCAGGAGGATTAAGAATAGTGCTCATGAGAAAAGACTGGGATTACTTTGCATTTAAAAACACAGAAAGATGCAATCGTAAGGCGTTGCTGGAAGCATGCTTACAACGAACACAAAAGGAGCAATAACCTCCCAAAAGCAGTGCCACAGGCGAGCTCCACTTGCCAGCGGCAGGAACGGCACCTGCGGCAGGAGCCCGGAGCGACAAAGCCCTCGCCAGAGCAAGAATCCCAGAATCGCTGAGGTTGGAAAAGCCCTCTGAGACCACCGAGTCCAACCTGTGACCGACCCCACTCTGTCACCCAGCCCACCAGCCCAGAGCACTGAGTGCCGCGCCCGGTCTTTCCTTAAAACACCTCCAGGGATGGGAACCCCACCGCCGCCGCCCTGGGCAGCCCCTTCCAATTTCTAATCACCCCTTCTATGAAGGAATTCCTCCTAATGTCCAACCCAAAGCTGCCCTGGTGCAGGTTAAGCCTGTGAAGTGGCCGGGGCCAGCGTGCCCGGGCAGTGCTCCCCGGCACAGCCAGCGGAGCCCCACTCCTGCCACTGCAGCTCCTCCCCAGCCGGAGCCTCCCCGCCGGCCGAGCCCTCACAGCGTTTACCCCGCACCCGCCGCGGAGTTCCGCTGCCCGGGGCCCTTCCAGCGCCGCGCCCCGGGGAGCAACCCTGAGCCCCCGGGCCGGGCTCCGCTCCGGGCTGCCGACACCCCAGCTCTGGCTGGCTGGCCGACCCGCCTTCCTCCCTTGTTTGTTTGTTTGTTAGTTTGTTTCCTTCCTTCCTTCCTGCCTGCCCGCCTTCCTTCCTTTCC